AATGGTCAAAGCCATCTATCTCGGTCCGGAGTCTTCACTTGTAAGCTCACAAGACCAGATGTGTGTCCATCCAAGCAGATATTTCAGGCTGGTGAATGCTTCCGTTTCCTGTCTGTCAGTGTGTGAGATTCTAATGTGAGAGTGTTTGCTCCCAGCATTTATCTGTCTACCGTATGCACAGCTGCGACCTGTTTTTCTGCTGTGTGCCAGGATAGTGGAGGTGTCAGTTTTAGTACGAGCTTTTAGACTCTTGGTTTATAGCTGATGCCTCCTGAATAAATGTGTAGAGGTGTAATTCGAACTTTTACACATTATATGAATGAATGAACTCTGTTTGTGCTGATTTGATGCTGTTAGTGATTTGAAGTTTCGTTCAATCTTCAGACTTGTCACTTGTTTGTTGACACTCGACACTTGGTTGTTTACATCTGAGTTTATAATTCGAATGTCTTGTTTTCTTTAGAGGTGAATTATCCATTCTCGATTTCAGTATAAAGGTCACGTAATGGCGTTCAGAAAACCCACATTTACATTCTTTTAACATTGAAAAATGCACATACAGTAATCATTACCAGCCTTGAAATAGAAACCGTTTCTAAAATACTGTCCCTGTCTATCATCACGTTTCACTAACGTGGCTGGTTAGGACAAAAACTCGGATTAACATGGGAAAGATACCTTTTATCATGTGATGTGGATGTGTTTTGTAACAAACTTTTATTAGAGCAGTGCACCTTGAATGTCTGTTCTGCATCAGACAGAAAGACAAAAGCAGTGTATTGTCTTGGTCTCTGTTCATGTTTTAAAGCAATTAAAGCCTTTCCAGGCTCATTTTACTCCCACAGATTGACAGCTGTCGGCCCTGAACTGTTGTATTAGCCCAGAAGGTCTACTGACATTAAAAAAAACAGGCGCAGACAGGAGCAGCCCTGTGTCGCGTTCCCGATCGAGCTGCTTGAGTGTGACATTTCACCAAAATCAACAAGCTGTCGATAGCAATTTTCTCGATTAGAAATCTCAAAGCGCAGGTCTGCTGGCATTTGCTGCTCTTGGACATTTTCACACAGTTCAAGATTGTTCTGTCATTTTTACTGGGTTTTGTTTGATCTGGTTGTTCAAGTCAAAAACATGGCCTTGCTGAGTAAGATTAAAGGCCCTTTATGGCAAGTCCATAGAAAACAATATGAGATGAGAGGGAAACATATATTTCAATGCTTTTGCATTCTTACGCTAAAAAAAAACCTTCGCTCGCAAATCCTTTGCGTTCCCTCGTAAAAACTTGTGATTGCAAGCATATTGAGTTAAGGACCCATCAGCCTGCGCCATATAGATTTTCATGTGTTGTTTAGGAGGAAAAGGTTAAACATCTAACCTGCCAGAATGGGTAGTTTGTTATGGAATTGTCTGAGAATTGGATGTCAGTTTGTTTCACACAATTACACTCTTAATGAGCATAGTCATTTATCTCCAGCAGATCTCATCAAGACTCTATGCAAGCAGAAAAGACACATTCATGTGGGACACTCAGTCCCTCTTGGGTATTTTCACGACTCTTCGCGCTATGAGCTTTGTTAGGAAATATGATTTCAGTCACAGACGCTGCTGTGTTTGGAATAGAACATCATGTACCACACACTGTGGCAAATGTGTCATCCTCAAAATGGATTCAGCTTGTTTTGAACATCACAGTTACGTGAGTCACATCATATTTGGCAAAGGAGGTTCAAGGCTATCTAAAGGATACCTCTAAATTCAACCCAAACTCAAAATAATACAACACAAAATTAACCATTGGTCTAATAACACATTGGTATCTAGTCAACCGTTCTCTGAGATTTGTTTTCATGATAATCGAATGTATCAAAGTAGTTTATCTCTAACGTTAGTATATAGGGAATAGAGTAATGAAAAATAAAAATCGCTATTTAATACCACTAACAAGGCTCAAAATAGTGCCACACTAACACAGTAGCATAATGAGGGTCCCTACATGCAAACCGAAGCATTGAGAACTTTCGTTAATGCAATTATCTAATCAACCAATCACATGGCAGATGCTTCAGTGTTTTTAGGGGTGTGGTCCTGCTCAAGATAATCTCCTGACTGAATGTCAGAATTGGAAAGAAAAAAAGAAGAAAGGTGATTTAAGCAATTTTGAGCATGGCATGGTTGTTGCTGCCAGATGGGCTGGTCTGAGTATTTCACAATCTGCTCAGTTACTGGGATTTTCACGCACAACCATTTCTAAGGTTTACAAAGAATGGTGTGAAAAGGGAAAAACATCCAGTATGCGGCAGTCCTGTGGGCGAAAATGCCTTGTTGATGCTAGAGGTCAGAGGAGAATGGAGATTCAAGCTGATAGAAGAGCAACTTTGACTGAAATAACCACTCGTTACAACCGAGGTATGCAGCAAAGCATTTGTGAAGCCACAACACACACAACCTTGAGGCAGATGGACTACAACAGCAGAAGACACCATTGGGTACCACTCATCTCCACTACAAATAGGAAAAAGAGGCTACAATTTGCAAGAGCTCACCAAAATTGGACAGTTGAAGACTGGAAAAATGTTGCCTGGTGTGAGTCTTGCTCATTGATTTGCATGAATGACAGAAAAACCTCTTGCCCTCCCTTTCCACAGACTTTGCAGACTAAAACAAATATAATTCATGCATTTCCATGTAATTAGATTTCACAAACGTAATTCCGATCGATTCCAGCTCACTTGTCACATTGTTCGTGGTTTGACTGGTCAAGATTTTTTTTCAAAGATGGCTCCTGCCTGGATACCTGAAGTCGACTGTTTTTATAAAATATTTCCTTAATAAAATCTGTACACTTACAAAGTTCTCAATGTTTTGGTTTGCATGCAGGGACCCTCATTATGCTACTGTGTTGGTGTGGGGCTACTTCGAGCCGTGTTTGTGGTATTAACTAGCGATTTTTATTTTTCATTACTCTATGCCCTATATACTAGATTTATAAGCTAAACAGTTTTTAGAGATAAAACTCTTTATATTCGATTATCATGAAAACAAATCAAGTACCAATGTTAGCAGTATTATTAGACCAAACACTCTTAGAAGGAATGGTTCTATTTAGAACCAGAAATGGTTCCATCCCCCGCTTCATATATGGAACTCCAAAATGGTTCTATATAGAACCATTTTTTTGGTGAAAGGTTCTATTGGCCAAGTATGGAACCCCAGGGTTCTATATATAACCCAGAGAAACCCTTTTTTAAGAGTGTATCAAACCTTTTAGGGGTTCCAAATATGTAGCGCTGATAGAACCTTTTAAGGTTCTATATAGAACCTTTTCTTCTAAGAGTGAAGGTTCATTTTAGGCCTGAGTTGTCCCTTAACATTTTGCCACTTTTAAACTGGAGAGCTGTCCTGGTTTTGTAGTATTTGTTGTGCAGGTATTGAGTATTTTTAATAATTGCTGGCAAAAGCACATCATTTCAGGAATTTGTTCTCAGGCTCTCCAGGTCTACAGATAATTATTTCATTTTTGCTAATTTATTTTGTTTGGCTTAAAGGCTGATTGCCTTGCGCTCCTGTTTCCGCTAATTAAGTACTCATTTTTTGAGAATTAACTTTGAATTAACTTTTTAAGAACAAATTATGCATTTAAACCTGAAATGAAGAAGCAAAGTCTCCCCTCTGTGATTGAGAGTATTCATCTTCAATTTTACTTTTTTACAATTTCTGGGTATAGAACACCATTTACCTCACACTTCCCCCCAGCACCCAATAGTTTACTATTTAATTTTAAAACTTGACATATTCGTGCGAATATTAATTCTCTCTAAACTCCTCAGAAATGTCAACAAATCCACAGGTGTCATGATGGTTTCAGTTTTAATCCTGCCTAAAACGGCTCTCTCACAAACATTGAATATTTCAGCAATTTCGAGATTCAGAGGTGACTAAATGAGGTGATGGGTTGTTTGCTTTGTAATTAATTCCCATCTGTTTTATGAATTTATGCAGATTTGTGGATTTTTACCACACAACATGAATTTCATAATGTTCTCATCTATCTTTATATCATAAGCTCTTTATAAAAACCTGAAAACATAAGAATCGTAAACAGCTTTTATCTGCAGTTGGACTTGGTAAGTGAAACAAACGGTTTATACATTATTCCATTAAGTTCTCATATGTTTTGGTTTGTTTTTAGTGTTGTATTGGTGATTATTTGTACATCAAAAATGTTTGCCTCCCTTTTCTCCTCTGAAGAAACTCCCCTGCTGTGTTTATTATTACATAAAATGCCAAAGGCTTATGAAGAACATAAAGTACTGTACGCTGCAATAGGTCAAGCACGATTGTACAAATACAATTTGCTTTCTTCACCTGTAATAATACTTATGATACACTTTGCTTCAGCTGAGTTTCATGTATTGGTAGCTGATGTGGACAATGCATGACGTTTGATGTCAGATGAAAGAATATGCATATCTACAGAATAGGTCATTTTCAAAACAAATTTTTGAAAGTTGCTATGACAACAGTGAGGCTGCCATTCCCAACCGTGTGGACAGTTTCTGGTAACAGAAATGCTTTGGTGTCTGCATTGATTATACTGTAATTATAAAATTGAATATTTCTATTTGGCATTGTGTTAGTAGAGAGTGTTAATATCATTAACTCGCCTTACGTAAGCAACGAGGGGCCACACAATTTTACATCTGTTTTACGCATTGGTTTGTCTTCTGTGGAATTCTAGATCAGGCACTTTATTTCATGCATTTTTGTCGTGTTGCATTAATTTGACTTACGGTTAATACAATACTTAATACTTAGTAACATCTGATTGATTTTCTAAGCAAAATCCTAAAAAAAAGACATTCCCAATTTTTTTGGAAAAAGGTTTGAAATGTTTGACTTTTCAAATAGAATGCTTTATAATGGATAATTAATCTTATTATCAAGATTAATGTTAATATAAATAATGTTCAAAATTCTACCTTTTTGTTTATTTAATTTTGCAGAGTCTTGGAGCTACTGGCAGATACGAAACCCATAAAAAGTAAGTGGTTTATTTTAAATACTCTACCTTCCTAAAACTTGCCAGAAATGAAAAGGGAAACGATGAAGACAATGAACAGATGTTGAACTAATTATGGTTGGTGCTATCAAATATTATATTGTTAACAAACCCAGAAATATGATGGTGTTTCAGTGTATAGTGTAACTACAGATGCCTCATGAGCTTGATATGAACTCTTTTATTATTATTAAATATTATTATTATTATTACTTTTTTTTTTCAAGGCAATAAAAACTCCGTATTTCTGGTTTGTGCGGGTTCCTATTCAGAACTAAGATATCAGAAGGTCTTGTTATCTGTCCACTTTATAACTGCTATGCTTTGTGCTTCTTATCAATATGATATCCTTGGTGATTCAAACTACAATTTTTCATCCGAAACAAATGCACAGATGAGCTAGTTTCTAGGCTATAGGTTGTCCAATCATTATATCAATCCATGGGGGGTTTGTTAAGAGATAGACGCCATCACTCAGAAGCAGCCAATATCCGATTGTATGCTTTATTATTAGATAAAATGCATAATTTGCTCTTTTGGTCACATGCTTAGATGTACTTTTATGAAGGTTTGCTTTGTGACATCTCAACTTGACTTAATTATCTGCAACATTTAATGTTTGAAAATGTATTCATTCATCTGTTGCTGTTCATTTATGAGCAATGACAGCTCAAATGGTGAATGGTACCATATTGTGATACCAACGTCTCGACACAACAATACATTTCTACAACCAGAAGAGCCTCTTATGAGGTTTTTAAGTCAGTCAGTTTGTCAGTTTGTTTGAGTAAAAGTGTGTTTTCATGCACACTTCTAATAGGTGCAGAGGGAAACTGTTTCCCTCTGAATGCTTCTCTCTTGGTGAGAAACCGTGCTGCCTGCAGTCTGAATCAGTGGAGCCCATGCTATCCATTAAGAAATATGGCACTAGTTGTGTTGCCATGGAGATCAACTCAATTGAAGCTGCGTTTAAACCTCAGGAAGACATAATCGAGTGCTTTGTCTTTCATTCCAGAGATACGCACTGCAACAGTGTGGTGGTGGTGATATGTTGTTTTTCCAATTTAATAATTTAAATGATTTAAACTTTTTTATAAAGATACTTTTAGTTTATCTGATGTTGCAATATTCCATCATGTGCATTGTGCATGGCAGCAGTTGTAGTAGTGTAAAAATACAGAAAAGGCTGCAAGTTCTGATATTTATGTGATCGTTGACATAAAAAAAAGGAAAAATCTGTTATCTACTCATCCTCAAGTCTTTTCAAATCCAAAACCATTTGACTTGGTCAAGTGGTTTTGGACCAAGACACACACACACCCTTATGGATCGCAAAAGTAGTAGTTTAACAGAATGCTTGAGCTACTCTCTTCCATAAAATGAATGTGAATAGGGACTACAGACTGCCAAGCTTCAAAAAGCACCATAAAAGCCTCATAAAGTAGTCTACGCAACTTATGCAATTTATTTCTAGACTTCTGAAGCCACAGACTGAAAAGTCATTATTCAGTGGAAATCTAGCTTGACAGCTGTGGTCACCATTGACTTGCATTGCATGGACAAGAGCAGCTTGAACTCTTCTTGTGTTCCATGAAGAAAATACTGTCATACTGTTTTTTTAAAAAAAAAACATCGGAGCGAGTAAATACTGACTATTTAATTGCAATGCACATCATTATTTTCTTTCTTTAAAGTCCCCGTGAAATCAAAATTGAACCTATTTACTTTGTTAGCGCATATTACTAGTCTTGTGGTGAACAATTAATCCGTGCAAGTAAAAATATATTTAAAAAATGTTTTACCTTGGTAATCTTTAATCAAAATCTGAAAAGTTACTTCCGGTCTGGAACGGTTTCTTTTTCTGATGACGTAGGTTTCACAACTTGGGTGGGGAAACGCTTAACCACTCCCCTCAAACCGTTAGTTTGCTATGAGGGAGAGATGGAGAGGAGGAGCGCTAGAGTAAAACCCTGCCCTCTGTTCAATATTCCGTTTCACTTGGAAATACGTCACAGCACTGGAGAAAAATCGTTTGCAACTTCCGGTTCACGGGGACTTTAAAAATTCACTCGTCAAATTCTTCTCCCACTTGCAACATCTCTTTTCTTCTCTTCACCATGAGAATGAGACAAGCTGTTACGCACAAAATCGTATACAAATAGCAAATGACAACTCGATGATCAAATCATTTACAAAACGAAAATTTACGATTTACAAAATCAAGTCCTGCCCTAAATGTTTTTCTTGTTTGAGAAGTCGTTTCACTTGCATATACAACACAATTGCGAAGAAAAGACTATCGCAACTTTCGCGTTATGCCAACTTTAATACCAGTCTCGAACTGAGCCTGAAGTCTGTCATTATTTTGAACTTTATTTTGACCAAACATGAAAAAAAAAAAATCAACGTGATGTTTAGAATGCTTATGCATGAGCAGAGATCCAACATATAGCGCAGCTGCACCTCGGTTGAGCTGAGTTCGATTTCTGTCTCGACGTCCTTTGCTGATCCCATTTCCCCTCTCTCTGCCCTTGCTTTCCTTTCTGAACTAATCCAATAAAGGCATAAAAGGCCAAAAGTATAACTTAAAAAACGAACAGCAGATGGCTTCACAGACAAAAATAGTTTGAACGTCAGAATCGCCTATTGGATTCCTATGAACAATGATAACATCAGGATTGATTTGTGATATGCTTTCAAGCAGGATTGATTTGGCTCAGTTCTCACTGATTGATGTGATTGACCGCTCATGACACAGGAGACTGTAAAGTGACACTATATCGCTTTTGATGTCTGAATTTTGTGGCACAAAAAAAAAGAAGTCAGTTTTTTTCTCTGGATAAGTTGTACTTTCAACTGACACAGAATTCTCTGGATTATAGTTTCGGTATACTGTATATGCACTCATATAACCCAGATTTGGGTAAAATATGGACAAACCCAAACTTTGGGTTAAAAAATGTCATTTAAAATTTGAACCCAACTTGACCCAAATTTGGGTTGAAACAACCCAGCATCTTTTAGAGCGTGCTGAATGAGGTTGATTCACACCAGTCTGGGACACAGAAATCCATGTTGCCCACACATACAGGTAACACTCGAGTTTGAGGAGGGTTATGTAAAGATCTCTATAATGTTTATATAAGCTTTATATGACACTTGACTTTATTCTGAGTCCTTAATTGTGTGCCAATAGTTTAGTTGCAATAAAAAATCACAGTTGCAGTTTTATAAACTAAAGTTTTAGCGAATTGTGTTGCTTGTCAACTAGTGCCCAATTAGTGGGTGGCTTCAATTTGAAATTACTTTAAAGGGATCTGTCACACGTCGTCATTTATTCACTCTCGTCTCATGTCGTTCCAGAACTGATTATTTGGTTTCCAACCATCTTTTAATATATTTCATGTGCAGCAAAAGCAAGAAATGCAAACAGGTTTGAAGTTGGAACAACATGAGGGTGAGGGAATTATGAGAAATGGTGAGGGAATTTCGGGTTGACTATTCATTTAAAGTACTCAAGCATTCAAGCTAAACATTTGATTCGTATTACATTGCAATTGAACATCATTTGTTTATAAAATCTCACAACCAGTTCTGCTTCTTCACTCTCCAAGTTCCTGGAGCATGATTTTGGCTCTGTCTAGTATCCACTTCCCACTTTTTCTGTTCATTGGTGCTAGTAGCTGTTTCAAAACTAATCACCATCCTACATATGGTATGCTCTTGGCCCGAGGAATCGGCGAATGTTATCGTGGATTTGACTGGCAGTAAACAGAGGGTTTTTTTTAGTTTTTGAACGAAATGCTAATAGAAACCAAGCCTTCAAGCCCATGCCCCTGATGAGATGTGTGTCTCAGAGCAGTTGTAGTGGCCTTTGTTTTGCCTGCCATGCAAATGGAACACTTAGCCTTGAGCTGGAGAGAGGAGCTGCGCACAAAAGCCTGCTGAGAAGAGAATGCTTGCTCTTTCACGCCGTCGTGACTTGGTTTACTGTCTTCTGATTGGCTGCGTGCTCGCCCATCTCACAGCCCCCCTTCAGTACTGTAGGTTTCTTCTCGTCTTTCCGTGAGTCAAGAAATATCTGGAAGCAGCTGTAATGTGAGATGAAGATCAGGTTGGAGATGACATGATTTTAGAAGTGGTTTTGTGATAACTACTACTTAACGTGAAATACCATGATTACTCATCAAGATGTTTCTGCTTCAAGCAATAGAAACAGAGAAAAGGTGTCTTTTTTATCTCCTTTTGATATCCTCCATCTATATCACTGGTTCTACCTGTTTTCACACCCTCCTTTTGTATTTTTAGTCATCCTACACCTGTGCTTATAGAGTATACTATTACTAGCTGTCCTGGTTTCCTCATTGTTTCTTTCTAGTATTACTTTTGACTTCCTCTTGACTTTAGAAATAAACTAAGCCTTTTTTAATGCAGCCACTACATGTTGACAGAGTTATTTGTCTTGCTTTTTTAAATTTGTTTCTTTTTCCCAATGCTGCCAAACATGATAAATTGAGTTTATAAAGCATAATGTTGCAAGGAGGAATTTCTGCAATAGCACTGCACAAAAGTACTGTAGCAGTAAAGCTCAAGAAATACTAATTAATTCATTTATTTACTTTGCCATGGGCTGAGTTGGTCCACAATGATGCTGTATTGTTTTTTTCCTAATACCCTTTCAATGATTTTTACTGATAGGAACCGATGGCATGGACGTCTCGCTGTACCATTAGTGTCAGTTCTTATTAAGCCTGTGGCCCCCTGATTGCTCACATGCAAGACGATGAGAGCTTTGCCTTTAAGCTGCAGCCATGGAAACATCTATACACTCACCTCAATGATTATTAGGAACTCCATACAAATGCTGTGTTTGACCCCCTTTCGCCTTCAGAACTGCCTTAATTCTACGTGGCATTGATTCAACAAGGTGCTGAAAGCATTCTTTAGAAATGTTGGCCAGTATTGATAGGATAGCATCTTGCAGTTGATGGAGATTTGTGGGATGCACATCCAGGGCACGAAGCTCCCGTTCCACCACATCCCAAAGATGCTCTATTGGGTTGAGATCTGGTGACTGTGGGGGCTATTTTAGTACAGTGAACTCATTGTCATGTTCAAGAAACCAATTTGAAATGATTCAAGCTTTGTGACATGGTACATTATCCTGCTGGAAGTAGCCATCGGAGGATGGGTACATGGTGGCCATAAAGGGATGGACATGGCCAATTGGCACTAAGGTGCCTAAAGTGTGCCAAGAAAACATCCCCCACACCATTACACCACCACCACCAGCCTGCACAGTGGTAACAAGGCATGATGGATCCATGTTCTCATTCTGTTTACGCCAAATTCTGACTGACCATCTGAATGTCTCAACAGAAATCGAGACTCATCAGACCAGGCAACATTTTTCCAGTCTTCAACTGTCCAATTTTGGTGAGCTCTTGCAAATTGTAGCCTCTTTTTTTTTATTTGTAGTGGAGATGAGTGGTACCCAGTGGGGTCTTCTGCTGTTGTAGTCCATCTGCCTCAAGGTTGTGCGTGTTGTGGCTTCACAAATGCTTTGCTGCATACCTCGGTTGTAACGAGTGGTTATTTCAGTCAAAGTTGCTCTTCTATCAGCTTGAATCAGTCGGCCCATTCTCCTCTGACCTCTAGCATCAACAAGACATTTTCGCCCACAGGACTGCCGCATACTGGATGGTTTTCCCTTTTTACACCATTCTTTGTAAACCCTAGAAATGTTTGTGACATTCAGTTTGGAGTTCAGGAGATTGTCCTGACCAGGACCACAACCCTAAATGCATTGAAGTAACTGCCATGTGACTGGTTGATTAGATAATTTGAGAAATTGAACAGGTGTTCTTAATAATCCCTTAGGTGAGTGTATTTACATCAGTGTTCAAATTTGGTTATTAATTTGTTTATGTCTTCATTCACATATGTGGCATTTGATTGTATCAGGAAAAGAGAAATATTGTAGACACAGCATTTCATGATGATTTCAATTTATTTTGTGTCTAAAAATGAGCATGAAATATTAACGTTGTTCATTAGGCACTAAGGTAACTTTTTTTTGTATCCGATTAGCACAACTTAATAAAATAATCAGTTGTTTTGGAGAGAGAGGTTGAAGAACTAAGTAAATTGTAGCATCTGTGGCCGCATGTCACATGTTTTATGTTAGATGATAAATAGAAGCTGACTTAATGTTGGCATATGGGTAATTTTATAATTGCCAGTACATTTGATGTCCCATTTTTTCTGCTTTTTCCAGTTATTTTTTAAATATTTTATTAATATGTTACTCATTGTCATGGGTCGCAAGATGTTAAAGTAACTATAATTATATTTCCTCTAAAAAGTGTCTTAAAATCATTAGTCAGTGTATTATTTTATAATGTATCATTGTGTAATAAAAATATGTTATTTTACTTTTCTTTTGGTAATATTTCATTTATTTATAAAGTTATAAAGAAAGATATAAAGTTGTTTTCGTTAAGTAAAAAAAAGGAAGTAATTTGTGTTTGGCAAGCACTGAATTATTCAAATTTAATATGTTTCCAATAAGATACTAGAAAACTGAATTTCTTTTAGTTCTGTTTTCTTTAACTTTATGCCATGCAAAATGTATCTCCATTTATATAACCCTTTTCTATCATTTTCTAACTATTTCTTTGAGTTCTCTTTCCCTTCTTAGAATTAACACGGGACTGCATTTATGAGGTTACACTGTTTTGTCTCTCAGCTTTTAGTCCATGTGGTCATGAATCATCTTCTCTTATTTCCTTAAATTTGTCTTTATCTCCAGCTGGAATAGTTGGGTAACATACAACATCCCTCAACGAGGGGATTTATCACCATCGTTCTACAGCTATGGCCATTAGCACTTTTGTGTTGTGAACATTTTGCATGAAAAAAAAAACAAAAAACAAATGGTCTGAGCTATTCTCTGATAAATTAAAGCATTCACTAATGTGCAAGTAGGTGGAGAGATAATAAGGCATATTAGTATAATATTCATTTTTCCCAAGGGGCCCAATTCACACCATGTCACGACTGTGGACATAGAGTAGAATTACAATGAATCTGAACACATCCTCTCACAGTAAAACTTGTTTTTTTTGTAGTTTTATTCAAATGTCATCTTCAAAAGCTAATATTACTTCTAAAACACTTCGAAGAAAACCTCAGCCAGTTAATGGAACTGTAATTTTCCATTGGCCATAGGAGACAATAAAAATCAGGACATGCTTTTGTGCACGAGGGCACTAAACACACAGTCAAGCATTCCAGCTATTAAGTCAGTATTAATGGGTTAAAAGCATTTCATGCTGTGATTGAGCACTCATTATCAATATTGCTTTAAAACCTAAGGGTCTTTACAAATACATAGACAAACACATTTTTTCCCGTTCTGATCATTATTATAACAACATCGACAACAAGGCGAAACCAGGACATCTTCAAGTTTGAATATGCTCCAGTTAAGTTGAGCATTATGTATTTTTTCCCTCTAGGACTGTAGTGCATCTTATATTAAAGACTTCGACTAGCCACAACTAAGTTTTTATCAGATTTGTGATTCATGTTTATTGGCTCTGTTCCAAAACCCATTGAACTGCCTCATTGCTGCCTACATGGGAACTTAAAGGAGCATTTCACCTCATACCTCATAAGTGGCTGATTTGGAACATTCTACATGTAGCTTTTTTATAGAATTATATAAGAGAGGTAAATAAAATGTAAAAACTTTACAATAAGCTTTCATAGTTAACTACTTTATTTAAAATAGCCTAAGAATAAACAATAATTCTACAGCATGTATTTATCGTAATGTTAATTTCATTATTAAAATCAAATGTTGTATTTGTTAACATTTTTTAATGAACTATCAACTGACATGAACAAAAAATGAACAGCTGGATTTTAACATTAACAAAGATTAATAAATACTGTAAGCTCGTTGTTAGTTCATGTTACTTAATACATTAACAAATTAACAAATGAGACTTTATTATTAAGTGTTACTAATAAAATGAGCATTTTTATAATGTTGAAATTAAATATTAAAGTATTTATAATTTATATAAGTAACATTTATTTAATTGAAGCTGTGTTTAATGCTGGCATATTGAGTGGCTTTAATAAAGAACACAACGCTAAATCTCAAAGCCAAATACTGTTACCGCCATTTTCAACTTACATTTTTCCATTACCTTTTTATTTATGTTTTTTTTTACAAACTTAAAAGTAAAAGTGTATTTATAACTGTTAATAGTCGATGCAGTCTTGGTAGTCGGCTCGGTTTAGGTATGGGGGTCTATGACCTGTGGATCCATCTTTTGTTTCCAAGAATCTGATGAAAAACTCAGTGGTGGCTAGTTGAGCTCAATAACAAATGCACCCAGAGGGGAAGAAACATAATCTTTATAATTATGCTGCCTACCCTTTGGAACAGCCCTCATGTGCTGTGTAGGTAGACAACTAACTGGGGCTTGAAATAACAAATGGGTGTCGAATCACCTGTGGATCCATCTCATGTCCACTCCTGATTGTCAGAACGGCAGAGTGTGGTGGTGTTGAGAGATTAGATGCTTGTTTCTGCTGATAAGAAGGAGAATGAAACAACTGGAGTGATTATGAGAAAATAACAACAGGTCCCCCCCCCCCCCTCAACATCTCTCGCACAGTGTGCTTTGGGCATGCTCAGTGGAATCTCGCTTTAAACGCCCGTGCGCTTTTGTTGTCTGTGTCGCTCATCCTAGTGCCTGCAGAATGCCCCTCTCTCCACCTCCCTTTCTCTCTTTCTCCCTCCCCCCCTCCATCTCCTCTCCTCTTTCCTCTCACCGCACATTAGCCTGCCAACACCGCGGCGAGATGCGCGTGAAGAGGAGAGCTCCGGTGAACACCTGGTACTCCGGGCAACTCCAGAGCATGGGTGTCTGTTTTGATCTTTTCCCTCTTCCCGTGCCCTGAAAGCGACTCTTTCCCACATCTTACTGGACTTTCTGTCATCAGATCTGAGAGTAGGATCTCCCGACTGGCTCAGAGACTCAACCAGAGGCAGAGCGATGCTGCCTTGATTAAGGATTTCAGACCCCTCTTGCTGCTCTCAAGCTCTCCAGGGAGCTCCCAGAGTCTGGACAGGTGAGTTCAGCATCTCTTTCGCTCTCACTGTACTCTCGTCCATCTCTCACCAAGTGTACTCACAGTACGATTCCTCACTCCAGTGTTGCTAAAATTATCCATCACCCCCCTGCTGTTTCCCACAGGTGTTCCTCAGTCATAGTGGCAGCAGCCTTTTCCCTTTTTTTTAATGGCTTAATTGGATTCAAGGCATAACACTAGCGCACCGCTCCGATTCGACCACTCACTTTGCTTGCTCAATTACTCACTGGTGTCAGAGGCTTCACTCTAGCACCGCAGAGTGCGTTATTATTAGTGCTATGAGTGGGTGTTTGCACGCTCCAAACAGTGCACAAGGAGAACAAAAAAACAGGACACTGCCTTAATGTCATGTCTGACAGGATTATAGACCGCTGTGATGAGAAATACCACATAGATGCCCTACGGTTCCACAGCTTTTAAGGAGAATGTCAATTAAGGACAATTTTGATGTTTGCTCTTTTTTTTTTTTTTTTTTTTTTGAAGAATACAGGCAAATATTCTCATATTTGTTTTCACACATCAACAAAATTTTTGTGCACTCATGCCCTTGTTCAGCATGTTCAGACAGTGTGTACTCGTGCCAGATGCTTTGACAAATTTGAGAGATATTTTTTAGGAATTTATATGAACTGAATGAGATTGATGAGTGATGAAGGTGCTACTTGTCTATTTGCGTCCTTTTTTGATGCTTCAAAACAACGATTAACTAAGGCTTTGCTCTTTTAAGGTGTGTTTTTCTTTTTATTAGGAAACTCAACAGCTACTATAAACTCATTGTCTGGGTTTACTTCTATTCTTGGCTCAGAATTAATTGAATTACTGCAGGATTTCATTGTACTATACGGACAGTGAGGATATCCTTGACAACTAGACTATGTTGATGTGGAGTGAGAGACAGTCTGCCTATCATTTTTCATAAAATTGTCTGCTACTGTTTAGGCGATATCTTTTTTTGATGTTGACTATTAATGGCTTGAAATTTATACTGTAATATTATTACAATTTAAAATAATCTGTTTTAATATAGCAGCCAGTCTTCAGTTTCACACGATCCTTCAGAAATCATTCTAATATGCTGATTTGCTGCTCAAAAAACATTTCCTAATATTATCAATGTTGAAAACTGTTGATAATATTTTTGTAGAAACTGATAACATTTTTTTTTTTGGGAAATCAAAGTTCAAAAGAACAGCATTTGAAATTATTTTGTAACATAAATGTCTGCCACTTTTAATTTAATGCATCCTGACCAGTCTGAACCCAAACGAGTGCAGATATCAAACAGGTTCATTTACATGTTACATATTTGCCTTTTTCGTTTAAAAATAAAATACCAGTTCATCAGTATGCAGTTATTTTCCAGGTAGCTTTTGCTTGAGCTGAAGCATTAATGACTATCCAGTGGCCATCTGTCCCTGACCCAATACTGACTCAGATATTAGTCATAAAGTGCATACCGAAACACATGCTAAGAATTTATTTCGAGTGCAGACTCTTAACAACACTGATGCAACAGGCATCACACCTAAATGTGTTTTGTCTGTTCTCTTTCCCTTCTCGACTCCACAGGAACTTCTCCATTACTATGACACAACAGATGCAGAACCTGCAGCTGACGCAGAATAAGAAGGGGGCAGGTCCTGCCTCCCCCAGCGCTGCCAAGCGTCTCTACCGCAACCTCTCGGAGAAGTTCAAAGGGAGCCACTCCTCCTTCGAAGATGCCTACTTTTTTGGCCGATCCGACCGTATCCGCAAAGTATCTGTGAGTATTTTAAAAAAATTAATTGAGATTATTTTATAAACTGTATCTCTGGCTATTTTTTGCAATTTTTTTTATTTTTTATCAGGGGCAATGCACAAAATACATCAATGTTGCGAAAATATGTTTTGTACTGTACCAGTTAGCCGAAGCAAATTTTCATCAGCAATCCCTGGGCAGGTGCACACAAATTTTACAACATTACATTACAAAACAACTATTAGGCTACATATAATATTAGTCCAACAATGGTCATCTAAAAACAATCAGATGTTCAAGATGAGAGAACTAATCAAAAGACCATCTCTGCCCATAATATATACACTAAATGTGCTGATGCTGACATAGCTGGTTATCAAGGATATATATATGTACATGTATATAAAGAAAAATGGTTCAGATCTATAGACAGCTTTAAACTGTGAGTTTATTCCAATATTTAATGATTTTAAATGTATAAGCTGTCTATGCAAAGGCGAAGGATCTTTTCAGGATAGCAAAATTTCTGTGAACAGTGGATCGGGATGTTCGGTTCGTTTGTTCCGAATAAAGTTTTATGATTTTTTTTCATTGAGGGTGGAGCAATATTATTAACAATTTTAAAAACAGTTCTCAAATTTGTAAATTGAATTAGGGAGTCAAAACTTAATACTTTGTACTGTATTTTAGTAAAATATTTCAATGATTATAGCGAGGGGCTTTTCTGTCAAGCACCTTTAACACCTGATTATAGACTGATCTGAGCGGTTTAAGTGTGGTCTCGTTGGCCTGAGACCAACAGGATAATCGATAAGTGATGTGAAAAGAAATCATGGCATTAAAATACATGAAAGTTGCCTCAATTCTCGGCATATTAAATGGAAATATTATATTTAATGGAGTTAGACATGTTTTTAAAACGTAACATTGATCTAGATATACACCTACAGTAAATATTTAGTCTCTTTCACAATGGTAATTTTTTGTCCATTAAAATAAATGTTAGGCATATCTTTAACTTTGTTTGACTTTGCGCAAAACTACAGTTTTTTAGCGTATTTAGAATTAAGCAAGAAGATTTTAGCCAATTACTTATTTTGTCCAAAGCTGGGGACAATTTAAGTACTTGGCTAAAATCTTCTTGCTTAACACTAAATACTCAAAAAACTCTTGAAATGTATTTCGCCAAGTTAATTCAGCTTAAAAAACCCTAATGCATATTATCAATAATTCTAATTTGTCTTGTAGTAAAAGGCTAACATTAGCCGACATAAACATTTATATGTAGAATCTTTTGATGTTAACATTCACTTGACCTTACGCATGACATGTTTTGAGCTGGAATGACATTTCGGGTGCTCGTGAGACCACCAGCGCGGTGATGTGCTCTCAGATCTTCCACAAATGTCACTGATTATATACAACTAGATCTAGCAATCATCTTGTTGACTCAAGTGCCCGAATACATCCCTCACCCTTGCTGCCTCTGTATGTTTTCACGCATGGATCAAACTCACAACTGACGAGGACAAGCTCTTATTATAATGTGTTGTTTTTGCCTAATATTTGCTTAAACTATCCCCATTTTATTTTTGACCTTTACTGCATTCTTTAAGGAACTAGAAATGTCTGTCCACCTTCTGGTGGATGCCTGGTTATCGATTTGTGCTGGTAATGGAAAGGCTGTAGGTCAAACCCATAAGCAGTTAAACACAGACAATCTGTGTCCTCGTTTTATGTTGTCTGTGCTGTTTGTAAGTGAAAATCTGTGTGTGTGTGTGTTTTCTCCAATCTCAGTTAACAGTAGTATGCAGAAAAATAGCTTGATTTTTCTGAAAACCATAAAAACGGCTATCTGGTGCATTGCAAAAAAATAAAACAAAATGTTCGAGCATCCTAATCAGTCTGTTTAACTCACTAAGAGACAGACAGGGGAGAATTCAAAATCTATTTGTAAAAGCAAATTCAGTGTCGGATGATCGATCGCCAGCTGATTTGGTACTCAAGAAACATTTCATATTATTATTAATAATGAAACCACAATACTTTTTTTCAGGATTCTTTGACGAATAGAAAGGTATAAAGAACAGCATTTATGTGAAAGGGAATTTTTGTGTGACAATGTAAAAGTATTTGATGTCACTTTTGACCTTGTGGGATTAATTGATTAATTTCTCCTCGCAGAACATTCAGAGCAGTGAGGCTCTGTTCGAGGCTGTTGAACAGCAGGACCTGGATGCTGTGCAGATCTTGCTGTTTCAGTACACAGCTGATGAACTGGACCTTAACACCCCTAACAGTGAAGGCCTGACACCTCTTGACATCTCCATCATGACCAACAACGTTCCCATAGCCAAGCTGTTGCTCAAAGCTGGAGGGAAGGAGAGCCCTCACTGTGAGTATGCATATTTACCAATGACAAGCATTAAACAGTCAATTTCCTCCATGTGTCTTAATACTGTAGCTTCTTGTGTCTGAAGTGTTTCCTTATTAAGGAGGCATTGAATGATTAGTTCCCCCTTCACACAGCGCGTTGATGGCGGGAAATTCCAGTTAAATTGCTAGAACGTCTTCTGTGTGAACGCAAACACGACCCGGGGTTGGGGATCTAGTAACATTGCCGTGTTCAGTCCCGGAACGCACGCTGTGTGAACAAAAGCCGTAATCAATGCCGTGTCGTAATGATGATGCTTAAGCCGGGATCGTTCGCCAGCATTTATGATCGAATCGGAGAAAAATGCGTGGCTCATGAGCAAACTTAAGACGCTGCTGAGACATTACATGTTACATCAATGTCACGTGTATTTATGGGATTTTTATGGGTTGTGTGTCATCCGGAAAATCACTGGCAGTGTGAATGAACCAAAATCAAACAAACCTGGGTCAAATCCCTGGTCACTTTATTCGTGTATTTTCCAGAATCTCTGTGTGAAAGGGGCTCTTGATAATTTACTCACCTCAATGCCATCCAAGATGTTCATGTCTTTCTTTCTTCAGTGGAAATGAAATTAAGTTTTTGGAGGAAAAACATTTCTGGATTTTTCTCCACACAATAGAGTTTGTGGTTAAGTATATAAATGTTTGTTTGTTTTTTTTAAATGACCAATTGTTTCGCTAGATAAGACCCTATTCCTCAGCTGTGATCGTGCAGAGCCCTTTGAAGCTCTTCAAAGCCCTTTGAAACTGCATTGATTTGGACTTCAACAATTTGGTTACCATTGAAGTCCATTGTGTGATGAAAAATCCTGAAATGTTTTCCTCCAAAAACTTAATTTCTTTTCTACTGAAGAAAGAAAGACATGAACATCTTGGATGGAATTTGAGGTGAGTAAATTATCAGGAAATTGTCATTTTAAGGTGAAGTTTTAAGTTGGATTGGAGTAAATCTTTTAATTAATCTAATCTATTAAATTTGACATGGTAAATGCCAAAAAGTCAGTACAGTTATTGTCCTCACCACACATTTTAATAAAAACAAAACATCTGAAAATGCTAGCATTTCATTAGTTGAATATTTATTTAGAATGTATTATTATTATTATACTTGAGGTTCTGTCCCAACATTATATGTATGTAAATATAAAACAACACTGATAACGAAAATGTTTTGTATTTGCAATTTGGTCTCTAAATAATTGTATTTAAAAAAAAAATGTTGGTACGGTACTGTACGGTACTGTATATATGCTATTATTTGTTTTGCCTGTCTGTCTTGTCCTCTGACCTAGTTTCTAGTTTGTTCGCTTGTTAGCTTTATTCAGTTCACCTGTTGTCCAATTAACTAACTCATTAGTTCCCTTTGTTTGGTCCATGCTTATAAGCCCTCAGTTCTCCTTTAGACTCATTAGTTCTCGTTTGTAGTAGTGTGGTTTTCTCCTGCGTTTATCCTGTTTCCTGAGAATTTGTGATTAAAATCTGTCTCCTGGAGTTATTCCTCGTCTCGTGAGAGTTTTTTATATCACGTTACGTAACAGAAGAATGAACTGAACCCGGTGAACTGCAGTTCAGCCTACACCATTGGCCCCGCTGAGGATGACAACGTTACCAGCCCCACTCCGAACACACGGCCAGAGTTCAACCATCCACCACCAGCAAACGACTGCACGGAGACGTTAGTGCTCACCGCAGACTGTGGGGACTGGCCTGCCGCGATGGACGAGCCCGAACCAGAAAAGAAATCGGAAGGGGTCATCACCCCAGAGCCCGCACGACAAATAGTGTCTGACCAGGTGCATGAACCGGCAACATCGTGCATAGCAGAGGGAGTATTAGTGGAGATTGATGGCTTGGAGGGAAGCCCCGCCCACAACCCCACTGCAGTGGATGCTATGGTTAGAATCTCTTGTGGTTATTTGAAGGAATAAATGGACAATTTCATTTAAGGGAGGATTTAATGTACTGATATGGGGAGATAAAACCTAATGTCCCTGAATCTGCAACGTTCCCTTTATATCCAGCGCCCCCTGTTTATTCTGAATGCCCACCAAACTATCCCCAGGCTCCGCCTCCAGCCTCTGTGCCCACCGCTCCACCACGGCCTGGTTCACCGGTTCTACCTCGAGCGCTCGTTGCCGCATTTCCACCTCCAGTGCAACCGTTTTGTGTGAGCTCTTCGGCTTATCTTCACTTGGGTCTCCATTGGTGGCTATATCTCCGTCGGTCATCCCCAGGATGCATTCCATCAAGTCATCTCCACCATTGCTCCTCCTGCTGGTCCCTGGCTAAACGTCTGGCTCATCCTGCTCCTGGTTTCCCCGTTTCTCCTCACACCATCCACTCCCTCCACGTGGCTGTTGAATACTTGAATCTGATTGGTTGATGAACGTTCTAAGGTGTAGAATTGTTTTCATGGAAACGGACAGTTAAAGTACTTCCAGGCAGGTTTTGACTGCATTACTGCATGTCCATATCACTTCACCAAATGATTTCAGTCATTTCAAAGGTCTTTAAAGCCTACAACAGCACAAAAATCAAAACCCACTAAGACACTGACCAAGCAAATAAATATAGTCAACAATAGGATAAAAAACGACAAATTATTTCCATGTTTTGTTGCCACAAAATTACGATTTGTTATGTGCGGAAATCATATACTCTTTATCGGGCTCTCTCTCTCTCACTCAAATGCACATAAATGTGTTGTCGGCGCTGCTCTGACCATTTAATCAGTAAAATAGTTCGGTAACTATATTAGCACTGTTCTTAAAGTAGAGATGCTACTGTCGAACACTGTTGAGAGACGCACACTAACTCAGGTAATTCACACATGCTTAATCCCTCTTTCTCTGTTTCTCTCTCTCTGCATTAGGCCGTGTGTCCACCAAAGCGTTTTTAGCCAGCTGAAAACGCTAGACACTCTGCTGAAGACGCCGTGCTTTGGGCGCTTGAGAGCGTTTTGGCAGCGCAGCGTTTTTTCCGTTGAGACGTTTCGTTACTATGAGACAGAATATCCGCTGCAGTTTGAATGTTGTGGCAGTTGGTCGGTGTGGTATTAGTCCCGCCCCTCCTCCACTGTGATTGGACGGCTGGGTAAAAAGTGATAGTGATGAGCGCTGCGTTTTATCCAAAGTTGAACATTTTCCAACTCCCAGCGACCAGTAAAAAACGCTGGGCGCTCGGCGCTTCAGCGTGAAAAAAACGCTCAGTGCCTCGGTACGCTCATGGCGTTTAAAAAACGCGCCGCTCCCATTGAAAACAATTGAAAACATACGCCAGGCCCGTGGAAAAACGCTTTGGTGGACACACGGCCTTAGTCTGCGATCAATGGCTCACCCCTCTGTTAGCTCTAAAATGACGTTTTAGAATTAGCAACGGAGGCATGGGTTAAGAAAGATGCGTAAGAAATTAGTCAGACACACAAAAACGGTTTAAGGACAAAAAGCAGATGCATTTCTTGAAATACAACACCTGAACAATGAGTTGTGATAACCGGAGTATAAGTGGAATAATAGACTTTGTAGATTGCTACTTCTTTTGACTTGGGTTACTTATGCTTTGCTTATCCTCACATCTTCATCCCTAAGGAATAAACGTGCATTCTATGTGGTTACTTCACCATCAAAAGGTTATTCTTGCGTCACTCCCTTCTGTTTAGCTCTGGCAACCAAAAGCAGATGCTCTGTAATTGGACAAGCTGTTTAGAATGAAGCTGAAGATAAACAGACGGAGCCAGTGTGAGTGTTTGACACTTTGCTTTGGGGCTCAAGTAATAATCGCCTTTAGGTACAAATACTAGAATAAACTTTTCCATGAAAGCTGCCATAAGCACTCATAATTCTGGTTTAAACATCTAATGACATCTGTCGTAACCACTAATGAGACAAAATATTACGTTCATGTGATATTTTGGAAATAACAATGTGGAGTCTCACATACTGTACTGTATAATGAAATCATCATTGACATCATTCATTCATTTTAAGCTTACCAAACTATTTTTTGGGATAAGCTGAATGCGGTTATCAGGTGTCTGCACCCATTGCCCTTGGATTAATCAATAGCATATTCAGTCCCTGAGTCAACTGTAGAACAGGTGTTTCTTACCTTGAACACTATGGAGAAAAAAAAGTCCCTCCAGTCCAGAGTACTCAGACAACATTTGGCTTTTTCATGATTGCACTGAGACCAAACAGGGAGCACTGTACTGCAGTCGGAGCGGGGCCGGGGTGGGCTAGACAGCACACGGCATCCCTCAGAAAAATCTTAACAAGGTTTGTCATTTAATAGTTTAACTTTTCCAATGATGCATGTAACGGGGGGCAATTATACTAAGTGATTTATTGTACCCGGGCTGCAGTAAAATTTCAAAACATTTCATCGTGGCACAATCCAATCCTTGTAAACAAACAGAAAATAAACATTGCCATATTTTCCCCTCCTGGGCTTTAGGCATTATATTTATGTCAGGCCAGAAGTGCCAAGTAAATCAATCAGCCAGACGCCTGACAGTTTGGAGGTCCGAACGAAGGCTTAAGTTAAAGCATGTTTATGGGCAGGGCTGGGGCCCGTAATGCCTAAATTTAGGGCCGTCCCAGAGCTCCGACAATGCCAACTGTGTGTGACAGCGCAATATCGCCCGACTCGCCCATTAATTTATAGTCTGTTCAATTAAACACGCATAGGAGCCAGATGTCAATCTTCAGAGCGCAGGAAATTGCACCTCAAGACTGCTAATATGGCTACCTTTTCCACTGCGCCGTGGACCCCCGTGTAAGAGCGTCTAAGTTAGGCCCCCTTTTTTCCGAGTTGACAACACACACTTTATCATCTCCCCCGGAGAGCTCCCGTCTCCAGAGGCTCGGGCTGGGCCAGTGAAAGAGGGTTTCTTCAGCCATATATTTATTTGTTTATTTTGCTGTCATGGTCTATGACTAAGGCTCTGAAAGAAAATGCAGCTGTATTCACGGCCTACGAGCAGGACTGGTCAGGCAGTATTCATTTTACCATGACAAATCTATACGGCCAAACACAGTCCTGTGTGTTCCAGACGACCGTCGAGTACATACATCCACACCTCTCCCCTCCACCCCACACGGCTGACTTCATTTGCCGCTATGCTGACACAAGCAGTGTGAGCCTGGAGATTTAATGGTAGTGTAATGGGCTTCCTGTCATTTCAATCATGACTTTTATTTTTGGTTTATGTAAGTTTGAGATACATTTGATCAGTCTGTTACTGCTGTCTTTTTTCACAGTGCAGTTTAGATCGTAAACAGTTTTGTAGATGAATGTACTTGAGGCCATCCAAAAGTAGGCAGTTGCGCACTGTACTACTTTTTTTTCATACAGTATTAACTGATATGTGCTTGATTTTGTTTTTTTCAGTTATAGAGAGCAGTATTACATTTCCAGAATTAAAAACCCCATTCAATGCCCCGTTCATAGATTTAGCCTTAAAATGATTCTTAGCAATAAAATATGAACCCTTCAGGACAAAGCTACCATAAATTCAGAGGTTGTTGAACACAATAGCCTTCTTTCAAAGAAATTCTGTGCTTTTGAACTTTCTTTTCAGCTAAGAATCCTGATAAAAGTGTACCACAAAAAATGTTAAGGAGCACAACTGCTTTCAGCATTGATAAAATTATTAAATGTTCAATTTATGAAGGCTTTATAAATGAATTTAAGTACATAGTACATTTTTTTTTTTTTTACATTTTGCTTCCAATTGAAGTTTGTAATGTTGTGATTCGTCTCTGAACTTTTAGGTTTGGTTCAAGGCAACTCCTTTTTGAAGAATATTTTTTACTTATACTTGTGGAAATTAACTGAAAAAGTTCTTCCAGAACTAAGAGTGCTGTAAAAGTTGGACGACCATTGTTGGATGTGAATGTGGATCTTGAATGTGTCAATTATTTTCATTTCACCTTCATTAACCTTTTTAATTTTCTAGACGAAACCAGTCTGAAATAAGACATTGTGACTTTACACCTCACCTTTAAATGTTTATCTACTTTCTAAAGAAAAAAGAAAAAAAAAATCACACTGATCGGAATAAATGAAAAGTCTCATTAACAGACCTCTCTGTGTTGTCTTCAGTTGTCAGTTTGGAAAGCAGAGATGCCCATCTCTCAGCGCTGGTGCAGGAAGCCCAAAGGAGAGCCAGCGAACTGTCCACCCAGGTAATGAGAGAGAGTCTCAGCCTGGAAACATCTGACAAGGAAAAACAGCTCAAAGCTTGGGAGTGGAGATGCAAACTCTACAAGCGCATGCGCACCGGATTCGAGCACGCACGTAAGTTTCTTCCAGTGCCTAACATTTCAAAAAAGGTCATTCATATGCTATGCTACAATGAAATACTCATCAAACTGGCCTTTAGTTTCAAACGGTCCTGTCTAATCTATCAGCATCTCAACCGAAAGGTAATCGATTCCCATATCGGCCCAACCTGTTCACTTTATTAGAATGATAAGACTCTGCAAGCAAGGCACTATGATTATTTGGTCCACAGATATTAATCTCAGGTTGACTGTCCTGAAATGACTGCAAACACACACAATAGTGTCCCTCTTACCCTCCTGTTATATTGATTACTTGATATATCAGGCATTACGATGGCTTCTCTTTGTAAACAACCTCAAGTGAAGGCAGCCGTAATAAATCAACGATGTTTGGCCGCAGACGCTCTTATAGATTGCAGAGAAACTCTCACAGGTATCTATGAAAAGATTTCAGGAAACACAAGGGCACATTAGCTGTGCTGTGTGCTTTGAGTTACAAGTACAAACGAAGGTGCTAACAAGGAGATCAAGGCACATAAAACCTGCTAGTACATAAATAGAAATAAAAAATCTGCCAAATGACAGCTATCGATTCATGTCTGTAGGTTTATTAAATTTGTGTAATTTTTTGTGAATATATACAACATGTTACAATATATACATCCCATGACCTTGATTGTCTTGTTATCCAGTACAAATATCTAATAAATATTAATATTAATTTAATTAAAAAGAAACAAAATGACGATATTATGTCAAAAAGATTTTTTTTTACCCCATTAGCAGATATTTGTTCTTGTGATAAGCATAAACTTACATTATTGTAGGCAAAACAATTTTTTTACAAATTTTACAGAAATTTTGCCATTTTGCTTCTTAAGTAAATATATCTTGATTCATGAATGTTTAGATATCTGTATTGGAAAACAAGACACAAATACTGAGTGAATGTGAGGTCACATTACATTTCGACACAATATTTCATGCAAAAAAAGGTCTGTTGTCTATTATCAATAGTGTAGGGATGTACAAAGCACAGCTCACACAGCTCATACAGAAAGTACCGCCCCAAATACATGCCATTGATTGAGCTGGTGTTGCTGAGCGAGGGGAGAGATGCTCAAACAAAGCAGAACATGTTTTGATGTTAGCACATTTTACACTTGTTTTATTTGCTATGTGCAACGTGCTATGTGACCTTTGACATGGCTCTTTCAGGACCACCGGAGGCTCCGTTGACAGTGTGTCTGAGTGTGACCGGCAGCACATCTCTCACTGTTAGCTTTCAGGAACCTGCCAGCATGAACTCTGCTGTGGTGACCAAATACAAAGGTCAGTGCAGACTTGATGTGCATTTGTCTGTATTACATACACATACACATTGAGAAAGGCGTTTTATTTTATAGATTTTTCTCAGTTTTTTTTTTTTTTAATTATTACATTATGCAACACAAAATACCACAATTACAAATTTTCTAGACCAAATAATTAGTTCAATTAAATCAATTAATTAAATTAGATTAAATTAAAGAGAAGTAATGTTTTTATTAAGCAATAACACAATAAATTTCATACAGATGATAAAACACGTGATCAAGTCATATTTATTTTTTCTGTAACATCATCGTGGTCCTATTTCGGTCAGTCCCATTTGGTTTCTTTTGAATCCACTGTATTGATGTCCTCTGCTTTTTAATTCTGTATAATGTGTGATGACGTGCATTGCAGCTGAATGGAGCTGTCTGAAGGACTTCTCTTTATTAGCCGGAGAGCTGATCCTTGAGAATCTGCAGTCCCTAAAATACACAATTACCGGTCTCACCACGGTAAGCTGAAATCCTTGTGCAGCCTGTGAACCAGAGATAGACACTTTGATTCACATTCAAGTCTACCAGGAAAAAAAACGTTTTCTCAGAATATCACATTGTCACATTGTATCACAATATCACATTCATTTACTGTACAGAAAGAAAAAACTTGCCTAAATATTTTTCTTTTAGATAGAAAAGCACCTTATTGTATTAGTAAATAATGAATACACTATTCATATACTATATACATGTTTTAAAAGTATTAGGGATAAATTAGAAAGGATCCTTTTATATTCTTTATATATTTTAATGTAAGCCTCATATTCTTTCTTTTAGATACATGTAACAATTATTATTTTAAAATAAAACACAATAATGTATATACATTGTAACTAGGGTAGTGGCCAAAAGGGATATCCAGCCATGAAAAATTGACATCACCCTTTATTCAATTATTATTAATGTGTTTAAGATTCTATAAGCATATTGCGTACTTGTGCTTGGAGTCATTTATTAAAGCAATGAAAGATGCTAAATTGTGCGGACATAATTTGTGACTAGGCTGTCATACAAAGAAATTATGTACGAGCAAAAACAAGAGAGAAATAGAAATAACTGATTATGTTGTAGTCAGTTTATGGTTTTTCCTGTGAGCTTTTTTGCATTTCTATGCACTTCTTTAAAATGCTAAAGCAAGTAATTTTCTCAGATAAATACCTTCATATTTTGATGGTTTAATCAAACGCAGTGTCATTAAAAAGAAATATCCGCTTCAGACATCACATTTTGTGGTCTTAATTTGTTCTATTCTGTGTCATTTTATCGTATAAATAGTAAATAAATAGTGTTTTCATAATGAAATTTCACTTACAGTACGTAGAATGTGGGACATTTGATGTAGTCAATGAGCTTTCCTTATGTAATGGAAGGTGAGGGGTTATTAGACTTTGATGCTGGATGACAAACTGCTTCCTAAATTCTTACTCTATGCAGTAGAGTACATAATTTGTGACACAACTTTAAACTTTATACTTGACTTCGACTATGCATCCGAGACTTGTGAACATATCTGCTGTGAATTATGAGTTATGCCCACAGAACTCCATTGGTAGTACAGCTTGTTGATATTATGTTGTAAAACTTGTCCTTGGGAACACTTGATTTTTAAGATGTTTTTCTTATTTGTTACAGGGTAGACAGTACTATGTTCGAGTGTCCGCCTGCAATATGAAGGGCTGGGGACCGACACAACTCTCTCAACCTCCTTCTGCTGTTCCTTCCAGTAAGTTCTGCAAAGCAGCCACAATTGTCAATTAGCACAAAAAATGATAGTTTCCAAACAAACTTTAGCATTGCTTTTAATTAAATTACAGTATAATATTGTTAAAAGGAGAGAAAATTGTATTGAGTGCATATAGCCAACATTCTTGGAGGTAGGACTGCGCTATTTTTTAACCATCACGATTTCCACTCACCTTTTTTTCACCGCCTTTGATACATTCTGAATCTGGCCTTGAGTTTCCTCTTTCAAATGAGCGCTGCAAAGAAAACTATATCTGTGTCATCAAAAGTTCACAAGTCTTGCATCAGTAACAAATCCAGCATTATTCCCAATATAGACGCAAAAAAATTGTTAGAGTGATATTTTTTCAGTCTGTCCTCTCTATTTTGAACTTTTTTTTTTTTTTTTTGGAATAACCTTTTTAATACAATGCACCCTCTCTCGTTAATTTGTCTCTATTCTGCAAGTGCCCTGACAACAACATTCCACCATAGTTGTGGAAGATTTTAGTCAAATTTAGTTCTAAATATACAGGACTTCTGTAGACTAGCATTATCAGATATGCTTTTGCTCTTTTTAATAAAATCTGACTGAATCTGACATTGTTTAAAATCTAGAACATGTGTGTTTTGTGTGATATCTCTTGAGTTTTGTGTGATATCTCTCAATGTTAGACTGGAAGGACTGCGATGGGAGAGAGAGCAGGAGGAGAGGTCACATCGAGGCTATGGAGAGACTGTTACAGCAGGTTCGAGCCACACACCAGCACTACTGCTGTGGAGGTAAACACACACACACAAACAAACATGTTGGGTTTTGTTTTATGTTCTGGGGTGGGATTAAATAAGTTGTCTTCTTCCCACTCCCTTTCAGGCAGAATTCGATTGTCAGTCAAATACTGATCTGTTTTTTTCTTTTTGCTTTTTTTGTTTCTTTTTTTGCATTGTATGATTGAACAATATTTTTTCTGCCTTGTACTTTCTGTGCTATTGCCTGAAATAAAATAATAATAATAATAATAATAAAGAATCAAACATTGCATAGACATAATGATTTTAATACTGGACAAACTGTATATCCTATCCACTACCACTACCCCTAAACCTACAGAAAACATTCTGCATTTTTAGATTTTCAAAAATACACATAGAATAAATTATAAGCTGTTTTCCTCATGGCAGCCAAAAAAAAAAAAAAAATGCCACAAGGATTTTAGATAAAAAAAATTATTTAACCCCCAAAAGTCAAATTTTGTGCAGATTTTTTTATTCTTTACTACTTTTTTAATAAACGCTGCCTGTAAGTGCTTATAAGCTTCTGTCATATCTCTACTACAATATTGGCCCCTTCTTCTCTTGAATAAGCTTCCAGATCACTGATAATCTTAGTTTTTTTACCACTGCTTTCTTCAAATTCGAGCATATCTTTGCGTCATTATGTCACATCTGTACACATAAAGAAGGAGTCTCGACTAGTAGGCTATGTCGAATTTCAACTCACACAAAGTTGATAAATCCGCGAATGACTGCAATTGCAGATTTCGAACAGAGATGGCGACAGAGGAAAAAGTGCGGACTGCAGCTTTAAGCTTTATATATTTTTTTTTTTGCACCAGACATACCGTATGTTTGACCATGAAGATGTTCATGGTAAAGTTTCCTTAGTTGGCTTTTTGAATTAAAATATCACATACCCTTCACCACACCTAAAGATTGGCATGGTTTTATTTCAGTTTGCATAATTTGCTGGTTTGATTTGCATTGAGAGATGATCTTTTGGAAAGTACCCCATGCCAATCTCTAGGTATGGTGAAGGGTATGTGAAGATGTGGGGCTTTTTTATTCCAAATGCCAAGGGAACTTTATCAGGATGCATATTATCCTTGATCCATGAAATAACTGGCCTTTAAAAATAAAAATCTGCCTGCCTCTATGGGAATTTAATATAGGGGTGTCCTGATTTATGCTCCCTGTATTTTAATGAAGAACATTTATTTATTTACAATACATTATTCATTCACAAAGAAAATTGGTGTCCTTAAAGGTTGGATTTTTCCTCATTTTTTTAATTAAGGCGTTAAGATAAATTTCCAAAAGATGATTTTTTTATTCCTCTTTTTAGTCAACTTTATCATGGGTGTATTCACTTATGCTAAGCACTGCAATAAATATATATAGATTTTCTTTTATATTTTGTATGCATTTTCTAGATTTTTTACTTTTTTAATGTAACTTTCGGTTTTATTTTATTTTATTTTTGACAGTTTGCACTGACTTTAAAATATCCATAAATCTAGCTAAAAGTGGTCTGTATGTCCCCTGAATCAGAACCGGATGTTCCAATGGAACCAGATGACTTCATCTCTGTTTTTTGCTCTGCTGGTGCTCTTTTATTTGCCGTCTTTATTGTCTTTTGTCTTTCCGATGTCAGTCTCTCATAATGCCCTCAATTATTCTCATCGTATTTCTCTCTCCTTTCCACCCATCTGCCCACTCGCCAGAAATCCCCCCTTCCCATCATCCTCTCGTCTTCTAAGTCCGCACTTCTTCCAGTAGATTAACTCTGTATTAAAGTGACGAAATGAAGCATGGTCAAAGTGTTTTGACTCAAGTATGGCCATCCAGAGCAGTATGAATACACTCTCTCTCAGCATTCCTGCTGCCTGCCCTCCTACGCTCTTCACATGAGGAGCAAGGCAGGCGTGGAGTATGTGTAAATAAATAAATAATGTTTTAATACATTTATCCTTTTTGGATTTTAACATCTATGTGTCAAACATGTCGTTCGTATAACGCAGCACTGTAAATCACAGGGCTTCGGCCCAGACACCTTTAAAACGAGGCAGGCTGGACGTAGTGCAAAGAGTAGAGAGTCTGCTTTGGCCTCAGGCCCACTCTCTATCCCAGAGGCCGGCTACTGAGGTATAGAAGAACGCTGTTCCTGGTGCTGACAGTATTGCGCTGCTCACAAACAGCAACTTCATTAGGCAGCTATGCAGTCGGCCACAAGCGAGAGGGGGGTGAGCAAAAAAACAGCATCCCTCATCTGTTTAGAAGTCAACACTAATGATGTCAGAGCGATGGCTGCCATCGTTGCAAATGAATTTACACTGGGGAATTGATTATATTAGAAAAACACTGTAAGAGAGTTTTTAATTGATGTGGAAAGGAGAAAAACAAAAGAAACAGAAGAACGTCTGCACACAAACTGTGCAAAAATCGGTCTCTGAGAGAATGTGGGTGTGTGCATTGCAAAAAAAACCCAAAAAACATTTTTGCCTTGTTTATTTGTTTTTCTGTAGAAATCACCAAACATCCTAGAAATCCCATACATTTACTTTTTTTAAATGTGTAAGATAATAAGGAAAAAAATCTTGATTGTTGAACATTTCATTAAAAAATATTACACAATATTTAAAAAATATCCTAAATTTTATAAATAAATGCAAATTTAAATCTTTATTTATTACTGTATTTTGGGATTGATCATCCAATATCCACCGTTTCTCAAATTCCACAAATAATCCCTTTTAATATAATCGATGTTTGATATGTAAATGCCTGCAGAGTGGGATTTTGATCCTATGAGTTTTCTATGTGGGATTAGATAATTTGAGTATATTTTGAAAACTCTAGTTAAAATATTCCAATTGGCAAGTTATTTTAAGCATAAATGCCTTTATATTTTTTATATAACTTATTTCTGAAAACATGTCTTTAAAGGGATACTCCACTTTTTTTGAAAATAGGATTATTTTACCACTCCCCCAGAGTTAAACAGTTGAGTTTTACCGTTTTTCAAATCCATTCAGCCGATTTTTTTGATATTTAGAAGAATATCATTAAACAGACAGTTTCTGGTCTCATTGACTTCCATAGTATGAAAAAAAATGTACTATGGAAGTCAATGAAACCAGAAACTGTCTGGTTACTGATATTCTTCTAAATATCCGAAAATCGGCTGAATGGATTCAGAAACGGTAAAACCCAACTGTTTAACTCTGGGGGAGTGGTAAAATGAGCCTATTTCCAAAAAAAAAAAAAGTGGAGTATCCCTTTAAAGTTTATGCCGTATTGCTTCTACATTTGTTTTTTTTTTTTTTTTTTTTTGGCAGACACTTTTATTCAAAGCCATGCATTTAAAGGTAGGGTAGGCAATTTCGAAGAGGCTAGCAATAGCAAGCTAGCTATGATATCATAAGACCCCACCCTTCCTCTAGAGCATCTCTAAAGCCACGCCCCCTCCAAAACACATGAAACACACAACCAGAACAGATTCTGCAAAGCTTAATGAGACTACGTCAAATTACCTCATGTCTCAAAGCACATACCATTACAATAATAATAATTGTAAACAACTTCTGCCTACAGATTAATTCCAGCATTGATAGTGTTGACATAGAAACGCATAATTCCGAGGATGTGAACAGCTCCGTAAAATGTCACAGATCACCTTCTCGACGGTAATTATAATATGGCATGACCTGACCGAATGCAATAATTGGACAAAAATATTTGGTCCTGAGACTTCCACATAAATATTTTAATATTTAGACCACTTCTATTATTGATTGCTATCAGGATGTCAAGAGAGTTTCAACCAGTATAAAAAAAAGTGTTTATGAAAAACATTGCCTATACCCTACCTTTTAAAAGAGGAATTTAAAAAATGTATCTTAAGAGCCAACAATATTTGAAGCTAGGGCAGAAATGAAATGAAATAAGAGAATTAATCTAATAACATTTATAGATAATTACTGGAAAACAAGACAAAAATACTGATTATAATTATTTATGTGTGTGCATTATTATGTCCCGATAAGCACACATGCTGGTGGGGCAACGTATTTACCCAGGTTATTTTTGGAGCGACGGTGTTCGAAAATAAATCTGTGAAATTAATCAGCACCGGTACAATGACACTACTATAAAAACCGCTCTGAAAAAAAAAATGCAGCTCGTTTAAGCAGAGGTTATCTTAATTTATGATGTGTATATGTGGAGCTGAGAGGTTGCTCTCAAGCCGAGGGGTGTGTGTGTGTGTGTGTGTGTGTGTGTGTGTGTGTGTGTCGTGCACACAGCTCCCAGTGTTCCTGCATGAGACACAGCAACACCCACACGCACAACGCGATCGCTCACACGCAAACCTCCGCACTCCGTCGCGGCTATGTAAGCGCTTTCTGTCAGCGAGGGCCTGGAAAGTCTAGCCACAAACGTTATGGATGATCCCGCTCGCTCTCGTATGTTGAAAAGGGTCTGTTGACCCCCGCTAAATTAGTTAGAAAATGAAGAATGCTACTAGTGCTCGCCATCTCTCCAACACTCACTCACCTCATTTCATGGTTGCACTCACTGTGCGGTAGTCAGATTTATTGCCAAGTCATTAATCAAAGGTGATCCTTTTTTTGCTTTCATAAATGTAAAGGCATTTCTTTATTTATTTAGTGTGACAGTTTGGCGGCACAGGAGGCCAATGCACTCATGTCTTATAATCTGCTTGTCAAAGCCAGTTAACCTTCTGAGGGAGAAATAAATACGAATTCTGCGCTCAACTTATCAACACGTGCGACATCAGCTCTATTTGCGGAGACTGGAAACTGCCGCTGAACTTCACATAAAAAATGTTAAAACGGATTGAATGTGTTTCCAAAAGTGGATCATTTTGTTCTCACTCCAGCTTGTTGTGATACAAAAAAATTGTGGTTGACATCCAAACCTTGGAGTCTGGTGGAGATATTCCAGTGAATGTAATCAAATTTGACTCTTTTTCAGTTGGAAGGTAATTGTCCCGAGATTCCAGTTGGACGCATTGCGGTTGTGAGGTTACGTTATGTAGATATCTTGCCAAGCAGGAAACAATCAGTGTGCGCATTTAATCACGTACTGTTAACAGTCGCCACAGTAGGGTCAAAGGGGCCGAGGGTTAATCTCCTTATGGGACTCGTAAGACACATTATTCCTTGAGGGGTTTGATAGTGATTTTCAAATGGAAAATCTGCCTTCCTACCTCCCTTTCATGACCCTCCGATGGAGACACAGAGACTAGGGCTGGCGTGATTGCTCTCACGGTGACTCGCTCGCTTTGACGGCCACTTTCACGTTGTAAACAGCTTCTCAGCCAAATGGATTGTTCCGTCTGCCCTGCTGTTTACACGGGGGCCAATTACGTGACGCTTAATTTCATGAAAACAGGGACGTCTGAAGATTGGCATCGCTGAAATGTGGGCTGATATGGCTGCTCTTGAAGCGGGAGATACGCAGCTGAAATGTTCCAGATAACCGGTTTGTCGGTGGCCCGACTCCCCCAATCCCTATCTCACACCCCTGAGGCTCTTTCACGCTGTCTGTCTTCGAAGTTCCCTAAGTTTATTCCATCATGGGTTTCATTTTGCTCTTTTCAGTGTTGAAGTGTTTTCCAGCAATTCTGAAATGTAAATCTCCAAAAGGATGACCAAAACTACATAGTTCATACTCAATTAAACGACCAGTTGATCTTAAGGAAGCCAGAATGAATCCAAGAACCCACAGTCTTTCAATAGGGTAACTTTAATTAATGATTACTGCATCAACAATTAATAAAGAGTCTATATGATTAATAGATTACATAATACATGAATTGGTATTAATTCAATGTGTAATTGGCCCATAAACAGGATGATTATTCACAGTTTTTCCATTGTTTGTCTCTCAAACCATCTTCAGACTCCCATGGTAATCTACCAAGTCTGGATATTTATCTCGTATGTTTTTTTGTTTTTTTTATCCCCCCAGACACATCAAAGTTGCCGAATCCAAGTCGAAAGCAGTCAGTCTCCCGCAGCCTGAAACACCTTTTTCACTCCTCTAATAAATTTGTCAAGACTCTCAAAAGGTGGTATGAGCATATTGCAGAAAATAGGCGGCACTTTCCACAAATAGGTTACACGTTGGTATCTCATTAGTTTTATTACAGCATTAGAGACTTAAATGGTTACTGTTGTGTCGTTGTGTGGTTACTGTAGATGAAAGTAGTTCATATCAAATGTCTGTATCCTCGCTCTTAAAATGGTGTGATTTGGTCCGTTCCACCTCAGAGGTCTTAACCATCTCAACTGAATGATTTTTTTAATAATATTTTCAATGTTTAATTAACTGTTTATAATGCATTTATAATTATAAAGAGATATTTAACTGTGTATAATATAATAATATTGTACTATAATATTGCTTTATTTTATTGTTCATTTGTATGTGGCTTTGGATAAAAGTGTCTGCTAAATTAATAAATGTAAAATATGAGCGTAATGTTTTGTTTGACGATCGATATTATCTAAACGTTAAGGATCTCACTGACGTTAGGAGTCACTGACTATTTACTTAAATACATTTTCAAAAAAGTATTCACTTTTAGTTTTTTTTGTACCCTATTCTTGGAAAGTGCCAGGCATCATAGAACTCTCATTATATCTGAATATGCTGAATTGGTCTTGTTCTGAATAGGTTTTTTTCTTTTGCAGGGGAGTTTATATAGCATCAGTATTTTACCATAAGGACAGTCTGCTAGTGACTAATGAGGATCAGATCCCCATAGTGGAGGTGGACGACTCATACAGCAGCTCCCTCATGCAGGACTTTCTGTGGTTCACCAAGGTATGCAAAAACATACAGTCAACCGCGACATTAAGCAGTGGAGAGGTCAGCACGGAGATACTGCACTAAAGTAACGTGCGTTTTATTAACCCTGAACTGAAACATACATTTTCTCTGTTTTCGTAACACATCTCTTTGACAAGCGCCAATATTTTTGTTGGTTTCTTCCAAATGCAGCCTGCGGTCAGCTTAGCGTCCTAAATATATTCTGTCAAAGTGAACAGTCACCACACTTTTGACGTTAGACCGCGCGTTTGTAATTAGCCCATCATTACAAGGCTAAAGTGGTGTGATGCAAGAAGCAGAGACAGTCTTAGCAGAATATAGCTCTTTGTTTGATGGCCAAATACTTCGAGATTTTATGGTGAGATTGGAGGTAAAGTTATACTCATGAAACGAGCCTCGCAGCTTTTTAAGCGCTCATGTCCACATCCAAATGTTTATTTTACAACTTGTCTCCTAATATGCAAGTAGAAAATGAAGGTTTGTCAAGGAAAATTTTGATGTTGGCTTGATAAACCTTGTCTCAAAGTTTAAAATAGTTTGAAGGTTAAACAGTCACACATAAACAGGCAGGCACACATAGATGGACTCTCATGGTCCCTTCTAGACTTTTCTGTTTAGACAATATGCACTCCGTAATAAGGTGTTTATTTGCAAATGGTCAAATAAGTAGTCAACCGAGACGCCTATTACTGGCCCAGGAGGGATTGTTTCATCACCGAAAACAAAGCACTCTGGCATTAATGCACAGACTTTGAATGATGTCGAGGAATTAAGTAAATTGCTTCCTCCAACTTCACAAGTGTGCGTGTGTTTATTTTGCAGCTGTCCTGTATGTGGGAGGACGTCCGGTGGCTGAGACAGAGCCTGGCAGTCTCCACCTCTTCCTCTTCCACTCTGCAGTCCAGACAGAAGATGCTGACGGCCGCGGGCCAACTGCAGGTTTGCCAGCTCGTGATGAGCCTTGCTAATAATTTATTAGTATAATGGGATTGAAATTGAAATTGAGCGGGATAATCCCTTATGAAGGATTCTGAGCAGAGTATGTGTCTGTTAGAGCATATTTTTTATATTGCATAACCATATAGTGATACATTCATAAGTGTAAGATGATTTGTCCTTTTTTTCAGGCATTTAAAATTTCTATTGACATAAATCAAAAGCATAATGGCATATGAAGAGGGCAGACATATATCATGAGTATACTCTCCATGGTGGTTTCGATGTAACATCACACCCTAAATTATTACAAATATTTTGTAGTGGACACCATGTACTGTCTAAATAAGAATTCTGGAGAACAAACGCCTTTTTCACATCATGTCTATTCCTCTATTCTTCTCCAAACAGAATCTTCTGGGCACTCACAACTTGGGCCGAGTCCACTATGAGCCCATTAAAGATCGTCATGGGAATGTGCTGCTTGTGACAGTAAGAGAGATGGACAGCTTCTATTCATTTTTCAATGGGAAATGGATGCAGGTATCCAAACTTCAGAGTCAGAGGAAGTCTCTGTCTACTCCTGAGGAACCATATGCCCTGGACATCCTACTCATAACCATACAGGTAGACACCTACAGACATTAATGATCGCCTATCTCAAATCAAGCACCATTTTTTTTTCCTTCACAAAAAGAATCTCATTTGAACTGTCAATTTGATTATAGGACATTCTGGCCTATCAGAGACGGAGTCAGCACCGACTGTCCTCTGGATTTTATCTTGGTTACCTAAAGCTCAGCAGCTCTGTGGATCAAATCAAAGTTCTGGTTCCTCAACGTATGCCCAACATGCTCTGTCACACCAAGATACGAGACAACTGGAATGTGTCAAGGTTAGTCATGGACTTATTTCCAATTATTTGCTTTTTTCTCTGTAAATCAGAGGTTTCAAACTCATTTTTGGACCAGATTAAACGGAATGCAATGTCACTTTTTTTGATTTGTTAAACTTTAGTGTACTCATTCAGAGTACATCTACATTGCTCATGTTGTTGTTATAGAGGTTATACACAACAATCGCTTCCGGTTCAGGTCTTTTGTACATGTTTTGTTAAATAAAGAGCTGTTTTACTCAAGATGTCTTCAATGGAGCTACCAAAGATGAGCATTACCGATGTCCATCGCAAATTCAGATATCTGAACGTTTTTTTTTTATTTAAATGTTTTTGTTTACTCTAACATTTGGATATCAAAATTGAGTAACCCGCCAACAATATAAAAATAAAAATAACTTACTAGGTTAGCTGATTACCTTAAAAGTCCATAGGTGTCGACATCAGTTCACAATGCTGTTAACACTTTCTCCGACAAGTGGGTGTGATGAGATGTTTTCTTGTTTGTTAACCCCCTGAGGTCGAGTAACGCGCCACCGCGTTATGCTGTTGTTGTTTTTTCACATAGCTGCAACATAGACTTAAAATACTCCGTCATTAATGGTCATATAAATAAAATCAATACATGATTATAAACTCTAAAGGGTCTTCTTTTTTGTGTACACTCTTATTAACATCAAAACTTTGTGTTTTTGTAAAATAAATAAGATAAACAGGGTGCGTTTTCAGCTCAATCTGTCTCCGCAAAAACGTGTCCGAAAAATAAATAGTAACTCAGTAAATAATTTATAAGTAATTTATATAAAAAAGCAAAACCTTTACTTTGTCTTGCTGCACTGTGAGGAATAATAATACTGTCATAATAATCCTGGAAAAGTTACCTCAGTTACCTGTTTCAATTCAAGGAGCACGGATTCAGCTGATGTAGTAAGTCATTTTTTCTTGATGTGACCTTCAACATAAAGCCTATTGTCATGAGTTACTCTCACAAAGTTTTGGGGGAATGATTTGGGTTGTTTACTTGAAAATGCAAATTTGTGCAATTTAAAAGAAAGACTCTGCATGATATGCAACACAAATGAGAGAGTTTGGTCCTGCTTTAGAGAAATCTGAATAGTATACTAATATAGTGAATGAATGTGAATTTTTAGCATATTTTTTCCTAAAATCATACTGCTTTTTGCAGTTCACACAGCACGTCTCTGGAGCCTTTGTTTCTTTTTAAAAATCGTAAGAAAATGTAAAAATATTGAAGAAAAAAGACCCTAGGCCTTGAAAGCATTAAGCAGAGACGGTATTATTAAACATGTATTCAAAGCCTGTAATAAAAGCGTATAATGATTTTCTTATTTTTTTATTAATATATCGATTTTTTTTTTTGGACTCATTATGAATACCTCTCATGCATCTAATGAATGTCATTAATATAGACATGCCTTAGGATTTCGCACTGGTGAAGCAAATACAAGCTCTCCAGAGTGAGCGTACCTGAGAAGATTGAAATATGCCTGAACTCCGTGTCGGGCTCCCCCTCACCACAGGCTTACATAGTTTCTTGACACCACCATTTTTTACAGTCAAAACAAAACTGCTATTTGTTTTTGTTCGGTAAAGGAGCTATTTATTTATTTTCATCTCGGGTCATGGTGTTGACCTTGGTAGGTAGCTAGAGACAGGGAGAGTATTATCCTGCAGCTCTGTGTGGTAGTAAAACTAAATTTACTACGGGGCGAGTCAGTGGGAGGTTCACACAGGATGATGCCTACTCACGGCTCGAGGAAAACCTCTGGAGCAAAGAAATTCTCCTTTTTTCCACTATCCCACTACCCCCTAGACTCTAGGCCTTGAGGGTGTCCTTGAGACTAAAACCAAAATGCTCTATTTTGCCCCGTCATCTGACCCGCGTACCATAAGCTGATGCTCTCTAAAATAATTTTCAAATACATAAGAGTTGTCACTTTCCTATTATTATTTAACATTTAACAATTTAGCTTTTCTTAGTGTTGAATGTTCAGATTAAAAGGAATGTTTTTTAGTGGCAGTGGTTCTCATTGTTAGACCTAACATGCCATCCCACTAGCCTTTGGAAACCTCTCTGTCGATGGCACTTCTGGAAACCGTAAAGAGCTGTGTATGTTGACTGAACGCTGTCTCTTCTCACCCAGGGATGAGTGGGAATGGCTGCAGTCACTGTCTGGCCCTGTGGAGGTGGAAAGAGCAGATCAGGCTACAGACTGCCTCCTCTTCTCTGAGCTCCAGACGGCCATTAAGAGTCTGCTGCACCATATCAATCTACCTCTCCACCAGGTACTGCAGTCTACAGGACAAGTCTGTGGTAACTTGGTGTTTAAGCTCCAAACTAATTAAAAAAGTAAAGTTTGCTAATATACTTTAATTTTCAAATGATTAAAATAGCTTAAATCGTTTTTTGGGCATTTAATTTGAAAACATGGAGAGGATTACATTTTAAGCTTATTTAAACCTTGGGTAGTTTGAATACATTGAGATCTCTAGCAGCATTTATGACAGACAGATGGATGAATGAATGAATGGATGGATGGACCAAATATAGATTTATAAAAATTGTATATATAAATGTATTTAATTTGACTGATAAAAATTAGAGCTGTCTAATCGCGATTAATCGCATCCAAAATAAAAGTTTGTGTTTACATAATATATGTGGGTGCACTGTTTATAATTATTTTATATTTATATATAAATACACACACATGCATGAATATTTAAGAAAAAATATTATTTATGTATAAAATATTTATATAGAATATAAATTATAACTAAATCTATATACAGTATATACATGAAAATATTTCATAAATATATACAAGCATATGTATGTATATATACTGTATATATATATATATATAAATTAATTATACACAGTGCACCCACATATATATATATATATATATATATATATACAGTATATATACAAACTTTTATTTTGGATGTGATTAATCGCGATTAATCATTTGACAGCCCTAATAAAAATCTAGATAGATAGATAGATAGATAGATAGATAGATAGATAGATAGATAGACCAAATATAAATAGATGGATGGATGTGTGGATAGATGGATAGATAGACTAATAGACACACTATGGATACTCTCTCCCAATATTAATCAGAATAACTTTATTTTTTTGTCCGTATTACTTTACAGTTATACTCATAGTTTTGGGATTTTTTCTGCTTAGTTGCGGCACAACATTGTTACCCTTTGTTACATTGTTACTTTACCATGCGTTAAAGTCTGTGTGTCTGTGTGTCCCACACAGGCCAAGCACTTCCGTCTCTACACACACGAGGTGCTGGAGCTGGGTCACAATGTGTCCTTTCTTCTGCTGCTGCCCGCCTCAGACGACGTTTGCTCTGCCCCGGGACAGACCAACCCCTACACACCACACTCGGGGTTCCTCAACCTCCCTCTTCAAATGTTTGAGCTCGGTACACTGGCTTCTGTTTCAACCCCTACAATATTAGCTCAGTTGGCCTTATAAAAATCCACAGATTCCTCCCCCCTCTGCCCCCAGTCACACTCCCTTAGGACCTCTAGTAAATCAAGCAGACACACACACACACATGCAGACACCAGCGGGGTGGCGGTGCGCACCACGGCTAGCCAAACAGCCACCCACCCCCCTCGCTGAGCCCAGACTGTGTAAAATAAGGAAAGGTTAAACAAGTAATCAATATTATAATCCAATAAAATGTGTTTTAAAGAATGGCAGATCATTTTCATTTAAATAGCAGGGTTTGTTTTCATTTGAGAAGGCAAATCGTGTGCTTGTATTCTTAGCAGCGGTGCCAGTTAGAACACTTAGTAGCTTATTCAGCTGCTGTTGTGGGGAGAGTTTCAAACAACTTTTTAAACGTTATACTGTGAGGTAGTTTCAGCCCAAACACCATAGACTTGTAAACCTCCCACAGATTTCCATTACAAAAGCCTCTTTAAAAAGATTCGTCAGTGTTTTTGGGACATTAATGATAACCTTGCTAGGGTCTCAATTTCATACAGCACACACACCACCCTGGGAAGTCAATTTCAGAAATGCAATAACATCTCACTACTGTTTCCCTTATAAGACAGTGTCAATTACTAACTACAGTATTCTTGTTTTTATTGTCTCCCTGTGCAGTTCACTTCTACTCATATAAGGAGAAATTTATCAGTCTTTATTGCCGGCTGTCCTCTGTGCTGGACCTGGACGCTCTAATTACCCAGCAGGCTTTTAGAGAGGCCATCACTGACTCAGAGGTGTCCACAGCCAAACATAGACAACAGCACATATTGGACTACATTCAGGTATGGGGCAAAGGGTGCCCCTCTGTGATTTTGTTAAAAAAGAAATAAATATATTTTTACTTAATTTAGTATTATATTGAATTTTATACAAGATTCCTTTTATTTATTTTGTTTTTTACAACAATTATAAAGTCCATTTTAAAGGCCTGGACACATAAATATAATTTAAACAATAAAGTAATTACGTCAAGAAATTGAGTTACGTTTAAGTAAATACTTGTTCTGATACTTTTTGTTTTATCAAATATATTTTTAAACAGCATTGAATTTAATATTGATGGAACAGCAGTTTTGAAACAGGTTTTTTTACCGTTTATTTTTACAGAAATTATAAATTATAAAGTAATATGATATAATAATACAATAAAATAATGTAATATAATAATACAATATATAATGATGAATAAAAATATAATATTAAAAAAATTATAATAGTTTGTCACCATCTGTAAATTATTTTGATATTGCAGTATCTTTTTGGATGACATTGAAGAATATACTTTCTCTTTTAGTTTTTTCTTGCTTGTCCCAAAAGGTATATGAAAAAAGAGTCATCTTTATAAACGATATTATATTTTTATATTATTCAGTGTTATATTAAATATTGATGAGCAACACAATTTTCAAACAAACTTCTTGTATTGTTTTTTTTATTATTATTATTATTACAAAAAATATAGTTGTTATTTTTTGTTGTAGTAGTAGTGTATTAAGGCATGAGCTAAAAAAAATTTCACCATATGCAAATTCTTTTGATATAGCAATCTTTATATAAGTATATACTTATGCATGCATTTTCTGTTTATTTTTTCACTTTAAGATTTTTATAAGCTGGATCTCAAGTATTTTTTTTATATTATCTGTATTATTTTGTGTTTCGTACAGTTTGATGTACATATTGGTGCTAGATAATGTTAGTACAGGAATTATTTGCATAGCGCATCCATTACAACAAATCCATTTGCTCTGCAAGCATTTTGCATCTTCATCCATTGCCAAAAGCCAACAGTGTTTTTGGTCTTTGAGAACATTGGGCCTTTTCCAAAAATACTATTCTTTCACTTATTCGCCAGTCACTGAAAAAAAAAAAAAAAAAAACATGAAATACACTACAGTAAAAACTGTAATTGTGAAAATGCAGTAAAACAGTCAAATTTAAACTTAACTCTGTTCTGTTTTAATATATATTAACATGTAATTTACTTGTGCATCAAAGCAAATTTTTCAATTTCCAATCTTTAGTGTCTCACGATCCTTCAGAAATCATTCTGATATGATGATTTGGTGCACAAGTAACATTTCTTATTATTATCAATGTTAAAAACAGGATTTTACTGAACACAAACTTTTGAATGGTGTTGTATGATTCAGATTCCGCCTTTTGTCAGTCCAGAACAATTTTGCAGCATATAAACAGGTGTTTAAGATTTTTTTTTTTTTGCTATTTAGTGTTTGTACGCCACCTGAAATCATTCTTTACTGCTTCATTCCTTTTTATTAGCCACATTTGTGTTGTACAATTACAACTTTTAGCAATACGTCATGCGTGTTTCAGTCCTGAGAATCATGTTTATTCCCAGCCGCTTGGGAGTGTTGGAAACATCAAACTACAAAAACAATTTAAACTAATAATCCAATTAGGATAGTTTATTGATGTCATAAAGCATAACTACTAGACGTATAAACTGTAAAACAAGTTGTTTTTCTTGTGTCGAAATTTCAATAACAGTTCAGCAGACTCTCTCACAATCCGACTTGAAAGGGAGGCGTGTGTTAAGTGTGCCGGTCTGAAATAATCCCTCTCCGCCACCCCGGTCTGGACTATTAATTGATAGTGACCACAAAACCACAAGTGTTTGTGTGATGTCAGGTCCAAGAGGCACTGGAAAAAACGGCACACTGACCACAGATTACACAGGGCCTAAGAGCGACGAGGGGAAAAAATAATACCGATCAATGAGTGTGACTGCATGACTGTGTGTGGGGCTGAGCAATGTGGCATCAATTAGCGTGAAAACCTTAATGTTCCAGAAGGCGGCAAACGAGAAAGGGCCACGTCTGTCAAAGTGACACGGCTCTGGAAAGTGCTTTCGTGTGAGAGAGCAGGTTTATATCGCTGTGAGGTCCCGTCAAAGAGCGCGAAACACGCGTTTCAGATGCGTGCGGCGAGATGTGGCATTGAGATGGAGCTTGCATGACGCTCAGATTTACTTGGTAGGCTCAAGTGTTTAGCTTTAACTCGGCAGATTTATAAATGTCCTGCTTTGATGCAAGTAAATAAGCCCTAGTTCATCTGATAATACTCAGAGAATTTTTGTGCGATGCAACCTTTTGGCTGTTGAAGTTCTCAAGCGGTTTTAGTTTTGCAATGGGCGGTAACCCCTTGTCCCAGATTAAAATGCACGTGTCAGTGCCATTGTTTTGTCTTGAGATGCACACCGGTAATGTTCTTTATAGCACATTTATACATACATGTCCCAGTTAAACTAAGGTCTAATCCTGGCTTAATTTAAGCCCCGTCTATGAAACCAGGCCTAAGTGTTAAACCAAAAGGGTACCAAAGTTGTGTATACTATCAAGGGACAAAAAATGCCCTTCTGAATCTGTATTTAATGTGTTTTGAGTTGTGTGTTCTTCTACTTTGTGTTTTTTTGTTTAAACTTTACCAGGGTGAAGGGCTTTCAAGCATCCCGTTTGTGTTGGATCTATCTAATATTGTAATACTTTTCGCCAAATATTTTGCATCAAAATACTGCTGAGTTTGATTGCACAGCCTTTGACTCATAAAAACGAGAATCGGTTTCTCATCCATTTTAATGGCCAGGCCTATTAATTTTGCTACCCTAAATATGTGTGATTATGGTCAGTTTAACATCATTTTTCCCTTGCAGCCGACGACCCTATCAGAACAGACCATTCATTTTTGTATTGAGAGTCGGTATAATCAACCCGATCTCACGGGAATTCGTACGAATTTTACGAGGTGGCTAATTCGTAACAATTTGTATGACCTCACTCGTACGAATTAGTACGATTTAGCTAATTCGTACATATTTTACGAATTAGCCAATTCGTATGAATTCGTACGAATGACCTACCCCTGACCCCGCCCCTAAACATAACCGTCACGTGGGTTTAGACAAATCGTACAAATTTGTACGAGTGAGGTCGTATGAATTAGTACGAATTAGCCACTTTTGAATCATTCGTACGAATTGGTACGAATTGGTCGTGAGATAGGGTAGGTATAATAGAGCAGTGGGTGTGATATAAGCCATACTACTTATTTATTCTTATTTTCCCCTAATTTGTTTGAATATTTCCCAGCCAGCAGTATCATTTATTAGTTGAAGTAGTCTATTTCGAAACCTAAATAAACTCATACTATTGCCCTTGTCATACTGGAGTCCCCTCTTTGTCGTTTGAAGCCCGGCATATTTTCCAAAGGAGTCATCCTGTGGTGTCAAGGCTCATTCCCATAAGCTGGATCTCTCATGGCATTTGCTAGAAAGAGCTCAGATTGCAATTTTTTTTTTTTCGTCTACTCTGCTGCATTTTTGCTCAGCCTTTTTCCTTCCAATTTGAAATAAGCTCCTTGTAAATACAATCGCTATAGTACGTCTCAAGGATGGAAAATATGAAAGTGGTAGTTGTGAAGATTCACTGCATGGAGGTTAACAGCTCTGATTGAAAACACATTTTACCTCATTTCGCTTCTGCACACTAAATAGGAGCAATATGTACAATTCGCCTCTGACGTGCTGTGATTGGTGAACAGAGGAAGATGACACAAAATAAATTATGACATTAGTCACGGTCATGCCCCTTCAAGACCCTTCAAGCGAGTTTTCGGTGGCCCCCTTTTGAAGCTTTTGTGTGATGCGCTTTAATGCTTTGAAAAGCTTTGTGATGTTTGTGGGGAAAGTTCTTGCGACGTTTGTGTGGGGGGAAAAAACGCGTTTCTCACACTGAAAGCTGTGATTTGCATTTTTATCGAATCAACTTTAAAAAAAGCACCCTTTAGTTTTCAAGCTAACCTTGTTTGCAGGCAGCATTGCCAATGAAATGAGAGCACACTCAACCTCTCTTTGTTTTTTTCTTTGTGTGTTTGAAGCAATTGGATGAGATGTGGCGAGACGTTCGCTGGATAACCAATGCCCTGCAGTACGCCCGCTATAAACAGCCTCTCGGTTGGGTGCCTATCACCTGGCTTGTAGATGTCAGCGTGGAGCCTCCTGTCCAGAAGAATGACTCCACGTCCTCGAACACAGAATTCGTGCCCACTCCCTCGCCCTCTCCAGAAATGAGGAGACGAAAGCCCACTATTGGTAAATGCTGTTTTTCAATAGCTGCCATTCATCCAGGTATAAAAAAAAACATGTCGTGCTTGACTGCGTGTGTGTGTCGCATTCAAATATGTATTGTACTTGCAATGATTTTGCACATGCAAGTAGTGAGATTGTGGCATTTGAACACAAAAGAAAATCAGTGAATCTAATGCAACCTGTCAATATTGAAAGCTTTGAGATGCCATGTTTGAAAGACATTACAGGTTGGCACAAAAGGAAGATTTGATAAAAGCATTTTTTGACAGATTTTCAAGAAATGTATGAAATTGCAGTTTACAAGCACTCATTGGAGTGACTGGCAGCCTGTGATTGTTGGACATTTAAGTTATTTTAGATTTCAGTCTGTGTAAGAACAAACTAAGTATTGGCGAATTATGATCATTTAAGGCCAAATATAGATGATTTAATGCTTCTCAATCTTGTTTCCGGTGTCTCAACGTGTGAATAAAGAAACCATGTAATACTGATAAAATATGCCTTACAATTAAACTTGCACAATTAAAAGCAGATGTTATTAAGTCAATTCAAATATTATTACTTGTGTGGTCAAATGTGTGCAATAAATATGCACATTGCATGTCTGCTGGGTGTTTTTTACTTTTATTTTCTAACTTTTATATGCCACATTTCTCAGGATTTTGAATTATTGCATTATGTGTATGGGATGTGAACTCAACAACCTGCTACGTAAAATTAAAAACTGTTTTTGTTGATTTTTCAGAAAGGACCTATGTATATTTTGTTACTTTAAACCATAGATATCACTTTATTTAACAAATATTATTACATTGTATAGTTTAACAGTATATGTGATGTCACATTAATTTTATTTATATAATAAATATACAGCTTAGTATATTTACTTAATATATACCTTTCAAACTTTTGGGTTCAGTAAGATTTTTTTGTTGTTTTTTGAAAGAAATTACTTGTTTTCAGCAAGTATGCATTAAATTGATCAAATGTGGCAGTAAAGGCTCTGTTCTTTTGAAAAATCCAGGAAAAAAGTTTCCAAAAAATATATATTTTTAAATAAAAACTATTTTTAGGACTGATAATAATAAAAGTTTCTTGAGCATCAAATATGCATATTAGAATAATAATTTCTGAGGGATCATACTGGCCACAAAACGTCTTTTTTTTTTTACAATATTACTACACTGTAAAAAAAATATAGTTGGTTTAACTTAAAAAATGAAGTAACCTGTTTGCCTTAAAAATTTAAGTTAATTAAAATGAAAAAATGAGTTAATACAATGAAGGAGATTGATTTAATCACCAGAAACTCAACATATTATGTTATCTGAACTATATAAATTATATTAAAAGTTAATTTGACAAAAGAAACGATGTTGTGATGACAAATCATGAATTTTTTTTTTTTTACAGTGTAGTTTTACTGTATTTGCCTTGCTTGGTAGCACAAGAGATTTCTTTCAAAAACATAAAAAAAATCTCACAACCCCCAAATTTTGAATGGTAGTCTACATCGACTATTTCAAAAAGCTTTGAAAGTGGTTCATCCTAGAAGCATCCTTTTTAAATGTTTATTTTAATGTATTTTTGCTTGTCCGATTCCCCATAACACTTTCCATAATTATTATCAACCCACATTTGTTGCAGAGTCCCAACCAGGTTCAGATGAAGAGGGCTGCTCGGAGGTCTTTCTCCCCACAGACAGTGACTATGACTCCAGTGACGCTCTGAGCCCTCGTGACCTGGACTTAGTTTACTCCTCAGCCCAAGATCTCTCCCATCAGGCCGTGCACATCCTCAGCGGGAGCGCACCCGATGTGCTTCAGATGCACGATCTCAAGTACAGCGCTTGCTCCAAGTCCATCCTGGAGACCGAATCCTGCACCAAGGATATGGAGGACCTGTCGCTTTCCTCATATTCGGTGAAAGACACAGACAAGCCGCCCCGCTGCAAGTTCCTGGCCGATCCACCGACGAAACGTAAGGTGCTGTCCAAAAGCCATCCTCAGAGGAGTTATTTTGGCGGGCCGCACCGTTGGCTGCGAGTACAGAGCGAGAGTCACACTCCCTCGCTATCCGAAGGGATCTACACCAAACAGAGCGAAACTGACCTGCCGCTGGAGACGCCGTTCTCTCTACCGCACTCTCCCACTACCTCCTACAGTTTGGATGAGTACAGGGCGACCTACAGGGAGTCTAAGCCCAACGTTCACAGGATCTTTGTGGAGTCTTGCAGCAAGACGTCACCCTGCAGAGATGCCCCACATTGGGAGGAGGAGGAGGAGGAGAGAGGAGCGACCACCGGAGAGACCGGATCGGGATACCGCACTACAGCAGAAGCTCAGGACATGGATTCAGATGAGCTAACGAATGAACAAGTGTCGGAGGTCCTCAGCAGCACTCTTTAGGACAATATGTACAGTACGTATGGTCCTCTCGACTTCAATTCAATCGCCTCAAAAAGCTCCAAAAGTCCCCCTTTCCTCTTCAACCGCACACTTTACAACAGCTCTCAGTTGTAATGAGTGAACACTTAGCCTAATCAATTCTTCTCTGTAGAGGATGAAGTTGCTGGTCAACTCTGCGGGACTCATAAATCATGGCTCTGACTGTTACAATGTTGATTATCAATGCAACGTGAAACAAAGCACTGCTTTTTTCTCAGAACTTGAAATTGTTTCCGCCAATAGAGTCCAACAGTTAGCGGCCACTTTTTCAGCAGCCTTTGTTCTGAGAGTATTTTTCCCATTCATTTTCTCCACAGGGGTTTCAAAAACCTCTTCAGACTGAAACACTTGGAAATTATGAACAAAACCAAACAATTTTTTTATATTACAGCTTTTTTTATTAGAAGCTACAAAAAGTGTGTACGTATTTTAGAACTTATGAAGTACAAAATATATAGGATATTTAAAATATAATTATTATTATTCTGATTTATTAACTTTCCAAACGCAAAAAAGGTACTTTTTTTCAGCAAGGATGCTCTGAACCGCAACGTAAAAAAAAAAAAAAAAATTCTAGCATTTCGAGATTAAAGTCGAAAGGTTTCAAAAGACATTATAAAATATACTGCGCCGGAATACACTTTAGCTTAAAAGAAAACCAACCCAGAAAACACTTTTCAGACTGGATGGAGATATCCAGCTTTATGAATGAATGAATGAATGAATGAGGTATTTATATAGCGCTTTCATATGTCTACTAGGCCTACACAAAGCGCTTTACTACAATCATCTCCTCAACTACCATTAGTGGTTATTAAATCTGAGGAAAATCACGGGATAAAAGTAAAAAGCTACTATTTTGTGTTGATCCATGGCAATTCGACTTCACAAGTGCATTTTTTACACACACGCCATTGTACACGCACTGTTATGAATACACACACTTCTATGGAAGACTGTATTATCGTAATGTTTTGACTTTAACCTCGAAACGTTTCGACTTTAATAAATAAAAATTGTACAAATTCGACAAATTTTGGTCGAGATTAAAAATTCGAGATTAAATTCGAAACGTTTCGATTTTAATCTCGAAATGTTAATGTTTTTTTTTTTTGTAATTTTCTTCTCTTTTTTTTTTACGTTGCGGTTCAGGGCTTCCGTAAGGATGCATTAAATTGATCAAAAGTGACAGTAAATGTTTTTAATTTTACATAATATGTTTTATTCCAAATAAATGCTGATCTTTAAATGCGTATTCATTAAAGAATCCTGAAAAAAGTATCACAGTTCCCACAAAAATATTTTCAACAGATACAGTAATAACAAATGTTTCTTGAACTCCAAATCCGCTTATTAGAATTATTTCTTATGGATCATGTGACACTGAAAACTGGAGTAATGATGCAGAAAATTTTGTATTAAAAATGAAAGATTCTTTTAAATTAAAATAATAGTTTACATGATTCATATTTTACTGTATTTTGTAAAAACATGATTCAAATCTTAAAAACATTTAAAAATCTCACCAACCCCACTAGATTATTATTGTTATTGTCTTGAAAGGTTTACAGATTATATAAATCAAACTCTCCGTGGAGAAAATGAATGGGATTTTTACTTCTGAAAACATGCTGTTTTGCTCTATTGTGGTGTTTTTCGGAGAAGAGTGGAGTTAGGTGATTTGACGGTCAGTTAAAATTACGTTTATGTGTTTACTTACAATGAAAGATCGATGTATCCGCTAGTTTCACTGCCCATTTAGAATTGTTTGCTCCTACTATTGATGTATGAAGTGGCATAATCCCCTTCACTATACATCTGTTTCAAATCGATTGTGTTTCGCTGTTGAGAAACACTGGATGAATGAAAAATGACCCCGTCACTACAGACTCTGCTACTAAACATGAGAGCCCTTTTCTAATTAAAAAGCTATTATGTAGTTCCATGGAAAGCGTGCGTGACATTTGTTCCACAGAATGTGTTTCATTGAAAAATACCTTGAGTTGTGCGATGTTTACCATACAATGCTGGTTTGTGGCGTGTGATTGTTCACATTTGAAGATTCATTGTAATTTGTTTCGTTTCTGTTCCTATTTATGCTCCGTAACCCACTCATGAAAGGAAATGAAAACCACTTATGTTTTACAAGTTGAAGGAATGAGAATAACTGCACTTTTAATATATAGAGTATATTCAAACCCCACCTCTTTTACTGTAATAAGAGTTTTGATATCTGGACTGTTTTGAATCGGGCCACTTTTGACCTAGTTTGCTTGTACTGCAAATTTGTGCCACTTTATATAAACACACATTCATGAATATTTGGATGATTTGTAAGTGCTTAATTACTAATATCACTGCATTCATTTTGTCAATTAAGCCATAGGTATTTGAAATGCAAGTTACTGTCCAAGGACATAACCGAAAAGGTAGTTTGTTTAGTAAAGCATACTTTACCATTGTGAATATACTATATTCATATGTACGCCCTAAAAATGAAGTGAAGCAATTTCCCAGATGAAAATGGCAGCTTTTTGCAAGCAACATCGTGAATGTGTCTGTTGCAATGTTTCAAAAAAAACAAAACCAAAAAAAAAAAACGTGTTAATGTTTGGAGTGTTTTATTTTTCTTCAACAAAACTAAAAGAAAGAAAAAATAGTATTTGCACAAAACTTTCTCCTGAAGATTTGTAAAAAATGTTTTATCTTCCTGGTTAATGTACAGCTGGTGCTCAAGATCCTGTGGGTAAAATGCACTGCTCTGACACCCCGGTGTGTTTCGGGCCGTGCTCTTTCAGTATGCATTCAGCACAACCCTGGCTGCAGCGTCGAGGCATTATATACCACATGCCACCTTACGTGTTCCAGTTATTCATTGAAACTGTTTGCAATTAGCATTCCAGTTGGGGTATTATTGTTAAATTATATAGTATATTTGTCTTGATACCTTTATACTGTGCACATTGCAAGCCAAAACAATTAAGAAGCATCATATCTGTATATTTTTGCATTATGCATTTATTGATCCAAATAATATATTTCAGTATTGTATTTTTGATGGTTGGTCCCATGACAGAAGTTTCTGTTGTAACTTGTTTGCTTTTTGTGATGCATCTTGAATATGACGCTGTGACAGATGTATTTAAGTCATAAAAAATAAACATTCCAGTGTAAATATTTTATGATGTTTTTATTTTTATTTTTTAAAGCTGTTTCTTTAATTGGTAACACTCTTTAATAAGGTCCCTTATGTAACTTTAGTTATTGTGTTAACCAACATAAAATTAAATTAATAAAACTGTATTATTATTATTTTTAATACGTTTTTGAATGACGTCAGTTTGTCACGTGTCTGTCCGGTCTTGTATTGCGCATGGGTGTCTTTGTTATGTTGTGCCATGTGCTCTCGTCATTGTTTGATCCCTCCCCCTCGTTACCTGATTAGTGTTTGAGTTCTTCCACCTGTCCCTTCTTGATTTGTTCCCTTTTTAAGTCTCCTCTTGTTTGCAGTCTTTGTTGGATCGTTGTCTTGCATTGCCCCAGTTTCCGTGTGATGGTCTTCATGTTCTGAGTCAGTGGAGCGATTTCTCTGGTTCATTTCGATAACAAACGAGACTAGTAACGCGGCCCCGAGCGGTCGGTGTCCAACAATCAAGAGGGGGACAGGTGGAAGAACTCAAACACTAATCAGGTAACGAGTCGAGGGGGGGAGGGATCAAACAATAATAATAAAAAAAAATATTAAACACACCTAAAACAAAAATCCTGAAATATAAATGTTATTTAAAAAATTTAATTTTAAATTTAAATTAATTAAAAAATAGAATAGATAGCCTATATATATAATCTATTTTTTAAATAATTTTTATAACAGTCATATTTTCAGGATTTTGTTGTTTTTTGTGTGTTTTTAATATATATTGAGATGAAGTTCATATGTTAACAGTTTTAACAAACAAGCCAACTGGCAATGTGTAATTAAGAAATGTTATCTTAGAGAGGTTGAATACAGATTTAAAAATACAATATATATTATTTATTAATTACAACTTTTATTTAGTAAAAATTTATAACGTTCATATTTTCATTATTTTTTGTTATGGATGTTTAAAAAAAGTTTTATAAATTGATATAAAGCTTTGTTTACAGTGTTAATTTCAACAACCAGGCCAACAGAGACAGACAGAGTGTGTTTGTGTTTAAAACTGAACTGACCGCATAAGCTACAGTGAAACCGTAACTTTCTAATCGACCGTTCAAATTGCTCTCTTGTTAGATCATCAAAGGTCTTCACAGGGAACTAAACAAAAAACAAATGACATTTTTATCTAGCTGGGTCATGAAAGAATCAGGAGTATTTTGACCTCGAGCTGGGAGGCCTTCTGATCCATCATTAAGATTAAGTGAACTTCAGAGTCGGACCAGACATTTGATGGTCATGGAGGCGCGACTAGATATTTCAGGAAAATCAAAGGACAAATATGCCTCCAGATGATTCGAAACACGTGGATCTCGCAGTCAGTTAACGGAAAGAAAGAAGAATGTGTGTATGTTGGAAACGAGCTTGAATCGGTGCGAATAGCGCTATCAAGGAGATGATCTGATGATTAAGTCCAGAATGACGCAATGTTCTCAATTCACAGCTAAAATTGACAGCCTGTTTGAATATGGCCTCTAATCCACTCTTCTATTTGTCCCAACACACACTTCCATGGTAACCGCTGGAACACAGTTAAGCAGTCATTGGGACAAATTACAGGATAAAATGAAGGAATCCACGAAAGTATAACAGCATACATCAACTGAGCTGCAGTTCACAGGTTAAGACACTTATTATGAGTGACATTTAATACTAAACAGTATGGTGTCTGTTTGTCACAAATGCATTCGTCAGTTTTATGTTCATATAGGACTCTGGAAAACAGCATAGCTCTTTATTTGGCTCTGAGAAATGTCTTTGTTCAGCGAGAGACTGCGCATGGTCCTGCGTTCTGTAACTCTAGCCAGAGGATAGGCCATTTTCAAGGGCCACGGATTCCTTCGTCACTAGTTGGTTGGCAAGCTTATCTCAAAAACATAATTTCAGCCTACTTCCTTTCTTTCAAATAAGAACTCGCATTCTACTGGCGCCGGACACTCGCTGACACAGGAGCAATCCAGAAAATTGCTCTAAGGTCAATTTAAACGTTAAAGAGTAGCACAGGAATATCATAGGAGATGGGGAACTCTTCTGGGATATCTGATGCAACCTTGTCATTCGAAGAGAACCCAAAAGAGCCAGCGGACAGTAGCACCCATTGACTTGATTTTAGAAAGCATTTCAGAGTAGCTGACAGAACTGACAAGGAATTCATATGCATTCGCTTTATATAAAACGCACGATGAACAATTCAATAAATCTTCTTAAAATAAATTTTAGTCTGCATCAGTTACAGAAATTACTTGAATGCATGTGTCGTGCCATTTTTCATTTTTCAATTAAAAGGGAAGTGGTGGGCCTTAAAGTAAAAAAATGTCAAGGTGGAATTTGTCAAAAAAAAAAAAAAAAAAGGCTGAAAGGTGAAATTCTTCCACCCAAGAGAAATACTAAGTTATATGAAACTATAAATGGCGAAAGCTGATCCTTGACTCAATCTGCTTGCAATCACATCAT